GGGGGGAACTCTGTCGCCCGTTCCTTATGGAATGTGCTCGGCCTGGCCGGGGGCCGCCTAGAGTGCTGCTTATATAGGTTCGGTTCTCAGGTTTCTCAGGTTCCCCCCGGAGGTTTGAATCGAAAGGAAAGTAACAGAACATAGAGTAGTAGAAAGTGTAGAGAGTTAGCTGGGGGGGTGAAGGGGATAGGAGGGGGAAAGGGTGAGGGTTGTACGACAGACCCGTGCAGTATGGCTTTGTGTGGGGTACCTTAGGATATGACCTAGTCCTCTAGGGGTCCTCAAGTTATGTCATCGGAGAGGTCGCTGTTCTGCCAGGGGTCCCACAATTTGTTGAAATTGGTCATGGTCCCTCTTAGTCGGACGGTCAGGTTGTCCATCAAATAGACCTCTTTTATGTTGGATATTACCCTCCGAATCGGTGGCATTTGTATTTGTAGCCACGTCTGCGCTATCGCTCTCCACCTAGAGTGATCTTATGGATCAGTTTCTGTTCCCTCCTTGTCCAGTCATCTAAAGATCTGCTAAGCAAGTATGTCCAGGGGTTCAAACTGGGCGCCCTATGGAAAATTCTTTTAATCAGATTGTATATCTATGTCTAGAAGGATTGTGCTTGGGGGGCATTCCCACCACATGTGAATGTATGTGCCCCTTTGGCCACATCCCCTCCAGCAGGTGTCATTAGGTGTTTCATGCGATGCAGTTTGGCCGGTGTGGTGTACCATCTAAACATTGTTTTATATGCCTGCTCCTGAAGAGATACACAGATGGACACTGAATTGTTAGCTTCCCAGATTTCTCTCCACTCAATTCCCTCTAGAACCTCCCCTAGAGAAAGCAGACACTTTTAACTAAATATACAAACCAAAATAATGCAAGAAAAACTTTTAAAAGTATGTAATAAATATTCATAAATTTACTATTAACTTGGTCAGATTGCATTGACGGTCACGTGTCTCAATTAGGGGAGTTTCTTCAGCCCCCACCCTCTTACCCAATTATCTCAGTTTCAGACCAATCCACTAATGAAAGAAGCAGGGAATTGTTGTGCACAAGTAGGAGAGAGAAACCCAACATAAAAGTCTGCTCTGCATAATCCGACCCCCTCCTTTCTCCCTCTGTCAGGATGTTGCAAAGTGATAAGATCTTTCAACTGTGCATGTTTTCCAACGTTCCTAAGGATAGGACACTGATTGGTTAGATCACTGTCCACCCTGTAGTGGGCGTGGCAGCATAATAAAAAAGGAGCATATTTGCCTGTTTTATTCAGCCTGCAGAGTGAGTTAAAGCCTTTGACTTAGACATTTGTCTCAAATTAATGCATATCCCTTGAAGAAGAATTTCCACCATGACTGATATGTTCTGCCCTCCACCAATTCGTTTTTGACATATATAATATTTGGCCAATAGTGATTTTTTGTTCAGAGTTGGCCAATGTGCTTTGTTGCCAGTTGCTTTCCCCCGATCACACACATCTATAAAGGTTCTTAACTCATGGAGGCTTTGCTCTTATATGTTTGTTACAATTGTAGCTGAAACTATTTTCCTTTATTTTCACCTGCACTATGTTTTTGTTCAGGAGCAAGAACACACACTGAAAGTCGCATACATAGCATAGAGACATCATTATCCTTGACTTGTACTTTTTATTGCAGTAATGAGACGAGTTTACGGGTAGTGTTTTCATCAATTCTAGGAAATGTAATGGTGATTAGAACAATGATGAATTTAAATTTGGTATGCATTGCATAAGGTCAATCATCTGAATGTCCCTCCTTCACAGATATACGTGGTCAGTGAACTGCATTAAAGAATCATTTTAATACTCGAAGATACATTGTTTTCATTTGGTGACGCTACCGTGATCATCTTCCATTTCATACCTTACTGTTAGTGAGAGTTTAAGGTTTCACCAAATGTTACCAATTCTGTGTTAGTACCAGCAGTCGGTTTTAATGACAGCCTTATTAAACCGAGCTTATAATTTAATTAATAATAATTTTTATTGAGATGATTTGTATGTGTTACCCATTGAAATTTTAGTTTTTCATTGGCCACTTATACATCAGTTGCCTGGCGACATTTCCTGCTGGTTTGTGATTGCCTGATGTTAGTTACATAAACTGAACAGCCAATGAAAGCACATAGTTCAATGAGTGACAGAAACTTTCACCAATGATGAATGACAAAAAGACAGTTAATTAAAGGCTGTATCATGCAGGTAGCTAAGGGTTCTAGGTGAGAACCATGTAGCTCTCCATAATGTTTCTTCATAAACACTGAAAAGTTTAGTGGCCACACATTTCCTTTAACTTGCCCAAAGAAAATTCAGTTTACTGTTAAATTGCAAAATAATCAATATGTCAAAGTATATTCCAACTCCCATCTGCCAACATGGTGCCGTAAGTCTATCTCTCAACCAAGCAATGTGGCATTTTGAAGCAGAATCTTCTTAAATTGTATTGCATATACTCTACGTATACAAAACCCAGGTTTCAGTGTATATATGAATATGTGCTCAGAATGCCCAAATATGCATCTTTCACTGACTCTGAGATTGTACAATGAATTGCCCTCTAGCCTAGATAAATGATATGTGCAAAAAGAGGACTTTAGGTGTGTATACTCAGGGTCACTGGAGTTTAGCAGGAAGATACATGTTTGGTAATCATTATACCAATTATAAAATAACATATAACCACAACCCTGAAGCCAGTAGGTATCAGTATTTTGAAAAGAATTGGTACAGGTGTTGATTATTAATGGTGTTTCTGAAACCATTCCACAAAAAACCCACAAAAATATTGAATTTAAGGATTAATAGAATTTTGTACGAATACAGATATCTAAAACTGAGCCTTGGAGAGCCTGTTTCACAAAAACTGTTGCCAATGTACTTTTTCATAGTCCACCCCAATCAAACTACACTTTAATCTGATATTTCATGTATGCTATTTTTTTTAATTCTGAATCTTTCCAGAATAAAAAAATAAAAAAAAATAAGAATGTATTGTTGTTGGAAACAAAATGACACTATTATTAGTCAAATTATGGTACAATAACATTCCTTTCCAAAGTATGCACCAAGCAAGGGCAATATGTCATCCTGGCTTGCCGAGTTGTCAGGCATCTCGGAATAGATGATGGACAATGTCAGTGTTTTGTAACAGTGCCAGTAGGGTTTCAGTAGCCGTGGTGATGGCTAGACTCCAATACTTTTTTCCCCACCTTATCCCTCTTACTACTCCTTCTCCTAAAATATTTAATGTTCTCCTCTTTCCTCCAAACACTCTCTGTTTGGCTTTGTCATGAAGCGTCACCTAGGGACATAGTAGCTGAAAGGGTCATTGATCATCATGTGTCTATTAGGTGAGACTTTCCTCTCACAAATTATATGATTATTCTAAATGTGAATTATCACCTGTTTACTATTTCTGCCATGTTTCGAATTGTACTGATATTTTTAGTACTGATATTTTGTCTTAGTGTCAATAAACACTTAAACATTTAAAGATTTAAAAAAAAATGATTCATGTGATTTGACTGTTGGCGCCACATGTGGGTTTGAGTATCTCAGCTGTAGAACTGGATTCACAGCATGAGTGCTCTACTGCAAATCTGGCTCCAATGTCAACATGGACCAGACTCTCCACAGAAGGTTTCCAGTACCTTGTCGAGTTCATACCACAAAGAGTTCAGGCTCTAATGGTGGTAAATGTGGTTTTATCCAGTGTTCGAATGGTGTTCCCACTTGGTGTATGTATCACGGCCTTGCTATTACTATAGATATATCTGTGTTTGCATGAAATAACTAGCTAAAATATGCCCATAAGTGATTCACCTGTCTAAAAAAGACAGCTAATTGTTAAACTACAATAAGTAAAGTACTAAACAGAATTAGCTGTTTAGTACAAAAAAAGGGTACCCCATCCCGAGCCCCCACCCCTGAGCGGCGGGTGGGGGCCCGAAATTAGAATAAGGGGGGACACCTAAAGTAAAATCAAATCAAACCTATTGTCCTCCCCCCAGGCTCCCACCACTGAGCGGTGGGTGGGGGCCCTAAATACTAATTAGGGGGGGACCTAATGTCCTACCCCCTGCCCCCCACCGTGAGCAGTGGATGGGGGCCCTAAATACTAATTGGTGGGGCATAATGTCCTCCCCCTGGCCCCCACACCTGAGCAGCCCCCACACCTGAGTCCCCAAACCCCTAGTCACCCCCCTCCCCCAAAAAATTAACCCCTACCTACCCCCCTTATTTTACTTTAGGGCCCCCACCCGCCGTTCAGGGGTGGGGGCTGGGGGGGGGCAATAGGTCCCCCCTTCAGGTTAGGAGGGGGAGGGGGGACGTATTTTTTTTGTTTGTTTTTTACAGTGAGCAGCCACAGGATGCTCACTGTTTAATAGACATGCCCCTACTCACAGTATAGCGAGTAGGGGCATAATTTACTAATACTAAGTAATCTTTACTTCGTATTAGTAAGGCTGAAAGACCAATTTAGGTCTTTTAGCCTTTTAGTAGATAGCTTCCTAATACCGTGGGAATTAGGGAGTTATCTACTTATTCATTCCTGTCATTGACTGGCCAAGTAACTTACATTTTATATGAATGTGTGTTACTTGATTGTTGTAAGTGTTGCAAATGCTTACAGCTGAATCCTGGCTACATTTGTATACTTTTTATTTAAAATTATATACAGTGTAACATTCTTCTTCTTCCACTGTGTGAGTATATTAGTACTTAGGCAATACTGTGCTTCAGAACTTCGGCAACTTCGGCAGCTTCGGCACTTCGGAAATTCTGAAGTACCCGAATGTCCAAATTGCCTATCGGACACTTATATGTTTTTTGTATTGGATGTTTAGGAGATATTGTAATGCTATGATATGTGGAATTTATATCAAAGGTAAAGGTCTATAAATGTCTATAATATCTTTTTGTTTGTTTTACTTTTGTTTTGTAATGTTAGAGATGGTCAAAGAACGAGAAAAAATGGAGGAGGGGAGAGAGGAAGGGAAAGAAGGGGGAGGAATGGAGGAAAAGGAGAGAAGGGAAACTATAATTAGTGATATTTTGCTATTGCCAGGATTGAGATCTGTCTCTCTTTTTCTCTCTCTCTCTGGTATTTGGCTTGTTCCCCCTTTTCCCCCCTCCCTTCCTTTCCAATACACTCCTTGGCAAATTGTCTTTATGTAAGTGAAGTAAGTTCAAAGAATGTAATGGTAATGGATGGACTAATTTTATAGCAATGTTATATGTAATTTTATGTAAGTGTATTTTTTTCCCTGTTCTTTTTTTAAAATCAATAAAGATAAAATAATAAAATTGGGGTGTGTATGTTGCCGTATTGTGCTTATGTTATTTATGGGTGCTGCAGTTGCTTTTTAACATTGTATTTGTGTGTACGTTGGCTGTTATATTGTATATGTTCATGAGTAGTTTAAAGGAATTGTGTATTATAGCTACAAATGTAAGCTGTGTGTGGGGGCTGCTTGTGAAATTGCATGTCTGGATGACAATATTGTAAAGCGCTACAGAATCTGTTGGCGCTATATAAATGTCAATAATAATATGTCACATTGTGTGTTTGATGTTGTGTGTATGTGTGGGACTGCTTATGGTATTACATGTGAGAGGCTGCTTGTGGGTTTGTGAGTGTGTATGTGAATTTTCACTGGTGTGTTTGTGGGGACTGTGTGTGTGTTTGTGTGTGGGCTGTTTGTATTATTTGTATGAGGAGGAAGCTTCTTCGGCAGTTTTGTGTATATCTAGCAGAGTGGGTGGCTTCTCTGTGGTCCAGTGGGTACCAGGCTGGCCAGGTACAGGTCAAGGGCAGGAGCTGCGATAGCTAATGTGGGCTGTTCTATGCCAGTGCGGATTCCCATTCACAAATACTGGTAGGAAGTGATCTGAGATCATTTGCTCTAAGTGCTGCTATGTGTAAATTTAGGATTGTCCCTTATCACCTGCAATCACGGCTCAGTTTCCACTAGCAGATACTTGAAGTCCCACTGGGACTCCTGATAGGCCAGAGCGTATTTGGCTCTAGCAGCCTTGAGTGCTGTGCAAAGGCACCTCGAAGTGCCATGCATGGCACGTGTGCCACAGATTGCTGACCCCTGGATTATGATATTCCAAGCATCGACTATTTTATATAATAAAGATATGCAGCTTATTTCAAAGAAACATTTTACTATATGTTCTGATTTATTTACAAAATGTAAATTTTATTTTGTATTCAAATAACTTGCTAACCCCTTTTTTTCCCACTGTGTGCACACAGACTTACTTTAATCTTTCATGGCTACATTTTCACAAACCAATAGCTAGTGGGTGAGTGGATATGATAGCATATTTTTGCAAAACCACTTTTGTAGTAAATATATTGGCATGCATATCTACATAGATACAGACACATATTACAATATATTACAAGTCTCTAACTAGTGATGTCCCGAACGGTTCACCGAACGGTTCGCCACGAACAGTTCGCCACGGCTCATCATTGAGTAAACTTTGACCCTGTACCTCACAGTCAGCAGACACATTCCAGCCAATCAGCAGCAGACCCTCCCTCCCAGACCCTCCCACCTCCTGGACAGCATCCAGCATCCATTTTGAAGCTGCATTCTTAGTGAGCTGTCCAGGAGGTCGGAGGGTCTGGGAGGGAGGGTCTGCTGCTGATTGGCTGGAATGTGTCTGCTGACTGTGAGGTACAGGGTCAAAGTTTACTCAATGATGAGTCCGTGGCAACCGTTCGTGGCGAACCGGTCGGCGAACCGTTCAGGACATCACTATCTCTAACCAATACAAGCATGCCAAGTAATACCATCAGTCATTGAACGTTTAACATCAACAAAACTGTGAGACAGACTTGCATTTTGCAGCACAAAAAATAAATAAATAAAATCTGTTTTTATAAGAAAAGCCATGCAATTCTGATTATATATAAAAATTCTCTTTATTTGACCCAACCTTTACAATAAGTAAGAACATCTACATATGAATTATTTGTTTCTGATATAAATTATTTTAAAGTGCCATGGACCATGGACTGTAAGTCTGAAACTTTTAAATTCATATCCTTTTAACTCCTTCCTTGTATATGTATTACTAAAAAAAAAAATGGAATTCATTCAAATCACAAGATGCTAGATCCTTCAGTTTGAATCAGCAATGACCCAGAATCCATCAGGGTTCTACACATTTATTATTCGGGACTCTGAAAATACAACAAATAACAAAAAGCTGAAAATGAACAACTGTGCACATTTTAATAATGTAATATTTTCATGCATCCTTTAAGTTAGGCTATGCATAAAAAAAGTACTATTTTTCCTATGATTAGCATGCACATCTCAGGTTTACAATAAATATAAAAGTATTTTTAGATTTGCATGTTAGTAACTTGGTGATCAGAATGCTATGATAAATATGATTACATTCCAATTACAAGTAATGAGAGATTATACATTACTACTAGATAGGAATACTTTGTACAGGGCTACACTTGCACTTGTGAGTTGAAAGAAGGAGCCTAGCCACTAAGTTACAAATTGCTTATACTCTATCTTCATGCTGTTCTTCTATTCACTTGCCCATTGGCCAGCACAGACACACGTGACCCATTGCCAGGAGCTCGCATTTCAGCTGAGCTCAGCTCTGTCTCTGTGCCCAGTCACTGGTCACAAATGTCCCAGTTTGACTGCTAGGGATGGACAGCGTTAGCAGGGACAGACACAATGTCATGATGAGGTCTCCTCAGCCTCTCCTCTGTGCTGGGAATAATCAACGGTAGCAGCAGCACAGGGTGGGAGTTATTAGCTGTGCAAGGGACACACATTTTGGGGTGGGGAGACGCCTGGAACTTGCAGAGCATCCCTCTCTTTCCTTTTACACTCATCCTAACCACTGCCCAGCTCTAGACAGCCCTCAATCTAGGGGGCACAGCTCTGCACCCCACCACAGCCAAACTTCCAGACTTTCCCCAGGACCCTCAGCCTTGGCAAATTCAATCTGTTCCCCCAGTCCAACTAGCCCTGCCTGCCTCCATCTGTGGGTACAGTCACACCAGCCAAGGACACACAATGCTCTGTACAGCACTCACTGGGGACAGTTCTGCAGGTAAACCACTTAACTGGATAAAAGTTACCAGTCCTCCAGAAACAAGTAAGTTGGGTCTCTCTGTGTGTGTACCTCTCTATTGTCTTTCTAACTCACTATTTACCATTCATTTACACAGTTCTATATCTCTTATTATCTGATCGTCTCATATTCTCCATTCTCTCTCTCCATAATGCTTTCATTCAATCTCACTCTCTCACTCGCATGTCTCATTTTTATTTTATTCCAACGCTACTTATTTCCCTAGTTTGCTCTCTCTCTCTCTCTCTCTCTCTCAACCTCATTCCCATCCATTGACTGGCTAAGTAACTTTAAGTGCTAATGTTTAAAATACAAATTAGTCTAATTATCCAGGAGGCATCATTTAATATGAACGTGTTACTTGATGATTGTAAGTGTTGCTTACAGCTAAATCCTGGCTATGTGTGTACACTTATCATTTAAACTGGTATACAGTGTAACATACTTCATTCTTCCACTTGGTACAGCTCTGTGTGACGCCTTATTTCAACTGCAATAATATGTGTTTAAATTAAAAGGGCGATCATTCCAATGCAAAAATGGCATACCTCCTTGAAATACCACAACCCCCTTAGGAATATAATTACATTGGGAATGGGAAAATTACATTAAAATGAAAGTGCCATTTCTAGTCCCTTTATGGCAGTAGTAATTTCAGGATCACGTATTATCTTAACATTAGAATTGAATATAAAAAGTGTATTAAATGTTATCAGTGCCATAACTCCTCTATTCTCATTGCCCACTTAATCCCTTACATTGTGGATCAGTGATCTGTTGGTTAATTTTGCAGTGAAAGAGTTAATGATAATATCATTATGACTACAACATATTGATGTCAAAGCTGAAAGTAAAAACTCGGATCCAGTGCTGCTCCTCGCTGGGTTGCTGTAATATTGTGTTTAGGCTTATAGCACTTGGAAAAGTTTGTGATGTGAACTCCCCAGGCGTCTGTCTAATAGTTTGTAAAGAGACATCCTTAATCTCTTTGTAATCGCAGAGGATTAAAAGGGCACAATTAGTCCTTTCTCGTGTTAATTTACCTGTAGACACAATTGACCGAGGACACAGGAGGGTTAAGACAGTCTGCATGTCATTATCTTACAGGCATGTTTATTATAGCTTTAAATATCTCTTGCATGAAATTAATTCGTTTATGTTTCAGCTGATTTTTCTTTTTTCGAATAAAATAAAAAAAACATTAAATATATCTAATATTCCAATGTACGTATATGTATATAAAGTAAATATATATTTTTTTGTTTAGAACTTTGTGTTTATTTTATTTTTGCTTGTTTTTTTAAATTACATTTTTTAAAGAAAGTAATTTTGTTTAATATATACAGTACTAGTTTAAGGCTTATGATAACTTGATTGGTTAAATGACACAAACTGACACTGAAAGTTTAGGAATGGAACATTTTCAGAGAGTGCTGGGAGTTTGCTGCAATACTGTATCCCATTGAGTTCTACATACAGACTAGAGACAGCTTAACACCTATTATACAGTGTGCACTGACCCTAATTTCTTAAAAAAGCACCCCACTCCCCTATCGCCCTCTACCCATCATCCCATCTCCCTTTGTCCCCCCCCCCCTTATATTTCCATTTTATTTCTACTCTCTCATACTTTCTCTCCTCTCCCTCTCTCTCCCTCTCTCTCTCCCCTCTCTCTCTCCATAGTTCTCTCGTTGCCAATGTAATTTTGCAAAGTATTTGTTCAGTTTCTGTAACGATCTGTTAGGTAACTGTGCCAAAGAATAGACTGTCTTAACCTTTCTTTTAAATTGCTGCCAGGCATTAAGTGGTGTGAGTGTTTGGAATTAAAGGACTTTCACTAATTGCTCCTCAGGATTAGAAAGTGAAAGTAGGAGGAGATAAGAGAGATTTATAGTGGCCTTCATGCTGTCTGTGCAATCAGTAATACATACACATTATATTATCTTTCATCCCTTCCCAGCAGTAAATAAATATATCACAATGGGATACAGTACATATTTGTGGTCCAGATAAACTCTTAAAGGGGAATTACAACCTGCGTTGTACTGTAGGTAATTTTTTTGTAGCCAATTGGTTTATTTTAGTCTTGCTTGAAAGCATTTTTTATTGTCACCTATGTGGTTATTTAGTTTATTGTGATTAGTGTTGTTTACAGGGTTATTCACTAAAATCAGCATTGCAGTGAAATTAAAATTAAATAGCAAAATTAAAAATAGCCCATCTGTCTCTAAAACTGAGCTGGAATCTTTTTCCAGATTAGTTGTTTTTAACCCAATTTTTGCTTTTTAGATTTTAGTTTGCTACAATTTAGTAAATCGACCCCTTAATGTCAATGCTGATCCAGTATTGCATTTAACTGCCTTCCTTAGGATGAGATACACAAAATAATGTAAATCGGGTATCAAAGTACAAAGAGTATAATGATATGAAAACATCACTAAAACAAAATATTTTATTCCTATATGTTATTAAATAATGATACATATTCCTGTTTGGCCAGATCCACTGTGCTTACATAATGTTAGCATATTGCAGGGGATAAGTGTGGAATCCATATTATTATTATTATTATTATTATTGGCATTTATAGAGCGAAAGAGCTTACAATCGTTTAAGCAGGGTCCTCATCAACCTATTGTTCCTGTAGCAATTTATTTCATTTATTGTTAAATGTCCCCCTTTATACTATTGTAATGAAATGCAAATAATAATAATGTGAATTAAAAACATTTTATGAGCTCCTCTGGAACATGCGGACATTATATATGCCCAGGAAAGCACAGTGGATCTGGCCAAACAGGAATCGGTATCATTAGTTGAATTAGTCTAAGAGCAATTCAGCAGCATGTTAATTCTACATACTCAAGATATGCTTTTTCATGTACCCCCTTAAAGCATGGTTAACTAATATATGTCCAGGAAAAAATGGTGAGTCTGCGAACCCTAACCCCTTAAATAGTTTGAAAGCAATACTATTGGGTATTAGTAATTAAACTAATTTAAGATGTAAATTGCAACATTAAGGCTAATCTAGCCAAACAATGACTATAGCTAGGCTGGGTAATTTTTCCAGATCAATTAAATTAGTCTATTTTGCAATCTAAGTTTTAACTGATAATAAATCAGAGCTTGTGGATAGTTTTAAATGTGTGAAGTATGATTTCCAGGATCCAAGAAAATCCAAATCAAATACTGGTATTTTGTGCATATATAAATAAATTCAACTGTGGCCACTCCAGTGACTGATATGTGCATGTGGTAAAATAGGTAAAACTACCCCTCTATGTCACCTTGATGGATTCCCAACTCCCTCCCCTTTTCCCTACAGCACCCTAAATTAGCTTTGGCAGATTAGTAACTCTCTTGATGCCGGGCAATGCAAGATATTTTAGCTAATGGATCCCAAGACCCAATGGAGTATTTAACGCCCCCTTTGTAGAGAGAATGCAATTTGAATGTTACAAAGTAAAATTCTAAATCTAGCATATTAACACGTCAAAGTAAGACTCAAAGCCTACTAAATCAGCGTAAACAAGAAGTTACTTTCCTTTCCCAAAACTAATGCTATTAGAAATTATTGCACAGTTTATAAATCTCAGTAGAGTAGTTTGGAAAAGGAAATTAAGCTAACAATTATATTCCTCTTTATGATACTTGAGCATCAGTTTGAGCAACACATTCAAGGTCTCTTTTGAGGATGATAACACATAACAATTAACACTTTCCAAAATTATATTTATTACCTCCATCCTCCTGTCTCCAGTGGAACCCCAATAAATATAGTGCTCAACATAATTTCTTCCCTGTCTTCTCTAATATTTTGTTTTGAGCTGACTTATTAATTTTAAATACAAAGGGAATCAACACAGTAAAGGAAGAGACTACATTTAACAGAAGAAAAACTATCACAACAAGAGGACATAGCCTTAAAGGATCACTATAGGGTCAGGAACACAAACATGTATTCCTGACCCTATAGTGTTAAAACCGCCATCTAGCCCCCGTGGGCCCCTTATGCCTCCATAAATATAGCAAAATCTTACTGTATTCAAGCCAGAAGCTGTAACTCTGCATGCTGTTTGCCTAAATAAAAACAAGCAGTCTGCTGACATCATCAGAAGTGGTAGCCTGATCCAATCACAGTGCTTCCCCATAGGATTGGCTGAGACTGACAAAGAGGCAGATCAGGGCAGAGCCAGCATGATTCAAACACAGCCCATGGCAATCAGCATCTCCTCATAGAGATGAATTGAATCAATGAATCTCTATGAGGAAAGTTCAGTGTCTGCATGCAGAGGGAGGAGACAGTGAATGTTTGAATGCATTTTAGGCAGCCATGACCCAGGAAGGATCTCTAACAGCTATCTGAGCAGTGGCCAGTGAAGTTATCACTAGGCTGTAATGTAAACACTGCATTTTCTCAGCAAAAAGCCTGAAGGTAATGATTCTACTCAACAGAACAAATTCAATAAGCTCTAGTTGTTCTGGTGACTAAAGTGTCCCTTTAAATTGGACGGGCAAAGGTTTAACAATAATATCAGGAAGTATTACTTTACTGAGAGGGTAGTGGATGCATGGAATAGCCTCCAGCCTTCCAGTTGAAGTGGTAGAGGTTAACACAGTAAAGGAGTTTAAGCATGCATGGGATAGGCATAAGGCTATAAGATAATGCCAGGGACTAATGAAAGTATTTAAAGTATTTAGAAATTGGGAAGACTAGATGGGCTGAATGGTTCTTATCTGCCGTCACATTCTATGTTTCTATGTTACTTGGATTTTTCTATAAAATGTGCAACATTAACATGTAAAAAGTCAGATATGTTTTAACCGCTTTACTACCAAGTGATTTGCCAAAAAGCTACCTCAAGAATTTGTATGTCCTGGAAAGTAGTGTTAAAATGTATATTTGTTTCAGTATGCACAGATAGCCCTTTATTTAATGTGAACAAAAACAAACATTTTGGTTAGATAGAAAAACGTTAACCCTTTAAGGACGGAGGCAATTGTGCAAGTTCTGACCACAAAAACAAAACCTAGAATTTGAGCTATATGTCTGTTCAATCATAATTTACCAATTTCATATTAAGTGTACCTATGTAATATGAAAACTTATATATCATTTTGTTCAGGAGAAAAGGGCTTTCATTTCACATCAAATACTTATATATGGAACACAATTTAACATGAATAAGTACTTAAGAATAAGGAAAATTGTTTCATACTTTTTTCTTTTCCTGATCATTATTCATGGCAGCATTTACTCATGGGTTAGCTCCTCTCCTCACAGCAGAAAGAACATGAAATAGAATTTTGAAACTGGTATAAATAGATCCTATTTATACCAGTTTCAGAGTTCTATTTCCTGTCCTCTCTGCTGTGAGGGTAGGAGCTAACTCATGAGTAAATGTTACCATGAATAATGATCAGGAAATGCTGTTATTTTCCAATTTCTGCATGGCATTATGACGGACCGCCTGGCACCCCAACAGGGTGCGCATGTCAGTCGATGCTCCTAGTGCTCACCAAGGGCTCCAAGCACTCCACCCAACACCATCAGCACTGTAGTTCCCACGTCCAGCGTTACAGCTTGGCTGGGAACTCGCCGTCCTCCACCCACCCTGAACCCAAGACCAGGATTCGGCTTCCAGAGAGCATAGCAGGAACAGCTCTTAAAAGAGCTAGTGATTATAATCCCAGGGGTGTATAGTGATATAGCAATCCCCAGGGTAGATACAGCCATTTCCTCCACACATGAGATGAGACTTGACACCCGCGTGGACCTTGTTGGGCACAGGGGCACAAAGTTAACAAACCAATAAAAACAGAGTTATACAGTAAGACACTCCCATACAATATACACAATCCCTCCCCTCTGCCTGGGAGATAATTAAGGCAGATAATGCATTAACAATTATCTCCAGGCAGAATATTGTTTTTATAAAGTCCCATAAGTACCCCAAAACACAACATATCCCCACAAATGTTACATCCCCTGATATCCCTGATCTGGGTGATCAACATATCCAACAATCACCCACATCAGATCCGGGGTTCAGAAATATTATGGAAGTCATAGTTTTGCCCAGGCGCAGGCATGGTCCCATGCCCAAAACAGTTCAATAGAATCGTGGCTAAGTGCCGCTGGAGGACCTACCGGGAACTGCAAGGTTTTCAGGATGAAAATAGTTCCAGGGCATTCACTCTGAAGTCTATTTGCGGTTTTGGTCCATGCAAACAAGATGGCTGCCACCACAAGTTGGAATGTCGAATGGTGGACACTTCGACTGTTCAGGAGTTTGAAGTGCCACTTAGAAAGTTCGAACTGTGGCCATAAAAATCCAAAAAAGCACGAACAGTGATTTAAACCAAGTTTTATCACAGGGGCCGTAGTCACAGGGTAGGGGGCTGGCAAATTCTTCTTTTTCTTTATTTTTGCAGTGCATAGTTTACAGGCAAATATGTAAAAACATTTCACAGGATGACTTAGAACAATACATGAATGCTGCAGCAGTATGAAATATCAGGAGTGAACTGCAATGATTTTTGTTTTTTTGAAGAGACAAGATGAGTATTATAGCAAATGACAGTAACACAGGTCTAACATTATAAACAAGAAGGCAAAGTTCATTTCCCAAAAAGACCGTGGCAAGAGGTAAGGACCACTGGGTACATTAGCTAGAGCATTGCAGGTAGGATAGGAGAGTTCAAGATTAGGAGAGAACAGTATCCATAGGAAACCATAGGTACAATATCAGCAGTGAGACTGGTAATCTGCAGGTTAAGCTGAAGTGTCATCTAACTGATGCCCAAGGGTGGGACGTTCCAGCATTTCCCGCTGACAGGATCCCCTCTGAGGCCTCCGCTCAGACAAGCTCCCAGACAGTCCAGAGAAATCCATTCTATGGAAGCAGCATGTTCACCCACCGGAACTCGCAGCTACAGTCTCCCGTACACCAGGTAAGTCGGGTAGGGATTACCAGGGACAGGTGGATCACAGCGAATGCGGAAAGATTCACGTCGCCGCCGTCGGGTCATGTTGTAGTGAGTATGCGGCTTGGAGCATTGGCGGGCAGTTGTTTGTCACCGCGGCTTTCTGCACCCGCGCCTCCAGGGAACCTCTTTGGATACCCTTCGGGGGAAGCCGATGTCTGTGATACCACAGAATGACTCGGAGGGGGGGCCTCGACCATGGATTTCAAGTGCAGGGGTAAGTCCTCTGCATGCGAGCTTTGCCCAGAAGGCTTCACAGACTCGATCAAAGGACGGAAGTAGTGGATCCTCGTGTGTGGTTGAATCTGGGAAGGTCACACCTCAGCAGGCTCAGGCAGGGAGGTCATTTTAATTCCTAGGCCCTTGGCAATATAATCACCGTGAGGCCCCGCCCCCCAAACTATTAGCTTTTACTACAATAAAACACACATATTTGTATGCTGTGATGTCCCACGAGTACAATGATGCCCCCATGCACAGGTTTCATGGTGTTTTGTAAAGTTACAGGGTCAAACAAAGAGCTTGCCCATTGCAGTTAATACACATTGAAATTTCCCAGAATGGTTTGCTAGGCCTATATTGCCTTTGAGACCGTATGGCTGCTTTGGAATGAAAATTAACCTCATCATGGAATGCTATTGCAAAAATAGATAAACCAGAGTATTTAAAATGATGTATGTCCACACTTTTTAGTAGCCACTTAGACACAATACCTTGCCAAAGTTATCAATCATATTTGATTTTTGCATTTTTTTAAATGCCCTTTCACAGATGATATCATTGTTATCATAATTGTACTGTTTTAAAAAACTCATATTTGTGTTCAGCAATGTCTCACAACTACAATGGTACCCCTCGTGTATAGGTTGTATGGTGTTATGGAAGTTACAGGGTCAAGTATAGGGCTTGCAATTTAAATTATCTGGACTTTCTGCCTGGGTTGTCAATCAGGTCCCTCAATATATAATTAATAAAATCACAAAACGATGGAATAAAAATAAAGAAATTTACATGTAGATTTAAATTATATACACACATACACACATATATATATATATATATATATATATACACACACACACACAGTATCTCACAAAAGTGAGTACATCCCTCACATTTTTGTAAATATTTTATTATATCTCTTCATGTGACAACACTGAAGAAATGACACTCTGCTACACTGGAAAGTAGTAAGTGTACAACCTGTATAACAGTGTAAATTTGCTGTCCCCTCAAAATAACTCAACACACAGCTATTGTCTAAACCGTTGGCAACAAAAGTGAGTACACCCCTAAGTGGAAATGTCCAAATTGGGCCCAAAGTGTCAATATTTTGTGTGGCCACCAGTATTTTCCAGCACTGCCTTAACCCTCATGGGCATGGAGTTCACCGGAGCTTCACAGGTTGCCACTAGAGTCCTCTTGCACTCCTCCATGACGACATCACGGAGCTGGTGAATGTTAGAGACCTTGCGTTTCCCCACCTTCCATTTGAGGATGCCCCACAGATGCCCAATATGGTTTAGGTCTGGAGATATGCTTGGCCAGTCTATCACCTTTACCTTCAGCTTTTTTAGCAAGGCAGTGGTCATCTTGGAGGCGTGTTTGGGGTCGTTATCATGTTGGAATACTGCCCTGCGGCCCAGTCTCCGAAGGGAGGGGATCATGCTCTGCTTCAGTATGTCACTGTACATTGTGGCATTCATGGTTCCCTCAATGAACTGTAGCGCCCCAGTGCGGGCAGCACACATGCAGGCTGAGACCATGACACTCCCACCACACACTTGTCTTTGTACTCCTCACCTGGTTGCCGCCACACACGCTTGACACCATCTGTCTAAATAAGTTTATCTTGGTCTCATCGGACCACAGGACATGGTTCCAGTAATCCATGTCCTTAGTCTACTTGTCTTCAGCAAACTGTTTGCGGGCTTTCTTGTGAATCATCTTTAGAAGAGTCTTCCATCTGGGTTGACAGCCATGCAGACCAATTTGATGCAGTGTGCGGCGTATGGTCTGAGCACTGACAGGCTGACCCCCCACCCCTTCAACCTCTGTAGCAATTCCCACTTCAATGAAGAACACTGGCAGCAATGTTCTACTTTACATGTTTCTTATCAACGGCCTGCTGTGTTAAACATAGCTTTTGGGCCAAAACATGAAACCTAATCAAGTAAGGTGTCTATCTCGTAGTATGTATGTATCAATTTGTCTCTGTTTAAAGGAACACTATAGGGTCAGGAACACACACATGTATTCCTGAGCCTATAGTGTTAAATCCACAACCGGCCCCCCTTGCCCTCCTAAATATAGTAAAATATTAACATTATTCTAGTCTGCTGGTGCTGGCTCTGACCCTGATCTGCCTGCTTGGCTGACATCATAAAAAGTCATATCCTGAGCCATTCACAACGCTTTCCCATAGGAAAGTATTGGATTGGCTGAGCTTATCAAGGAGGCAGATGAGGGGCAGAGCCCGCACAAGTCAAACACAGTCCTGGCCAATAAGCATCTCATTGTAGCGATACATTGAATCAATGCATCTCTTTGAGGAAAGTTCTGTGTCTGGATGCAGAGGGTGGAGACACTGAATGGCAGTGCTGCTCACTGTGCAGCACTGCCCCAGGAAGCACCTCTAGTACCCATCTGAGGAGTGGCCAGGGGAGTTATCACTAGGCTGTAATCTAAACACTACATCTCTGAAAAAAAACCCAGTTTTTACAGCAAAAAGCCTGAAGGAAATTATTATACTCACCAAAACAAATACAATGAGCTGTGGCTGTTTGGGTGTCCATAGTGTCCCTTTAAGTTTAGTTTGTAATAACCCCAGAAGTTTTAGATGAAGCTCTATGTAAATTGTAGGTTCTGTACAGAAAATTGTTAACCTAGACAGCAAACACATTACAATCCCGTATGTGTTCCTGATCTGTTATCAATATTTTATTAAAACTCTAAAGAAGATTTAACTGGGAAGTAAAACGTAGTAGAGAATTGACTTGTTTTTCCCAAAAAATTTAATTCTCGATCTTTATAATAATTATTAAGATTTGCCCACACATTAATAGTGAAATAAAATGAATAATTAACTAATTCCGCTTATTTGCAGTATATCATATACACAATATGTATAGTTTAAGTAGGATTAAATAATTAATTCCATAATTTTAGTAACTGCAGTATTTCTTTCACGATGTAATGCCAGTGAGATAGCTCAGTAGATAGAGAGAGATTTGATTCAATATTTCACTACCAAGTATTTAAAAAAATATATACTCTGGTATTGGGGCATCTTGAAAAAAAAAAAAAAAATATATATATATATATATATAAACAGTAGCATAACACAGGGCAACAGGGCAAAAAACTAAAATATAAAGCATGCATATGTGGTTACTAATGGCAGGCATATGTATTATACAAAGAATTGTTGTTGCTCAACCAAGTTATGGTTAGAAGAATCCAATCTGATGCATTTTTTTTCTATATACTATTGGATGGGGCTGCCTCATAAGTTACACAGCAGACCTGACATGACATATATTATGTGGTAGTGGAATCACACTCAGAGTTGTGCGTGTCTGCCCGCCAGCCCCCCTTCTCACTTACAGTGCTTATGAGTGAAAGAGAGGTTTGGAGCTTAGGTCATTTCCTTCCCCTTTCCCCAAGTGACCATAGTGCCTCCTTAATCTAAAAAAAACTATTAACCCATTGCTCAGTGAGAAGTTATACATTGAACAACTAGGCTCCAAGTTTCCACTTCTTTGAATAAAAGGGATATTTGGAATAGAATAAAATAATAATAATTTAAAAAAGAAAAACATTGTCACTGTATCATAAAGCAAATCAGGAGTTGCAAAGGGTTGCAGTGATCATAAGTGACAAAGAGGCTTCAAGTTAGTGCAGACACTGCCCCCTTAGTGTCCCAGTGCCCATTTATATTTAGCGTTTTGATATCGAGCTATTCAGTGGCTATGTAGGACCCCATATCTCCCTCTCTTTCACTGCAAACGGAAATGAGAAAGAGGTTTAGAGGTGAAGCTAGTCCTTGTCTCAGTTAGTGATGGAGCACCAGGTTTGTCAACCATGAGTGACAGAGAGGTTTTTGGGAAAATTATTGTCCCTCTCCTCATCATTCAGGACAAAAATTAACTCCATCTAAATATACAAACATTAAGGGTATGTTGGGAAAAAATTATTATAACAATTTAAACTGGTGGACTGTTCAAATGTCCTAATATTAGATATAGGTCAAGTGTCCAAATTCTAACTTGTTGTGCTTGCTAAGTTATATTAATGTTATGGTGTTTATATATAGTTTAATTGCTCTAACTGAAGAACAAGGAATCATTTTTAGAACTTTGGTGACTTTATTTGCAAACATCATCAACTCAGGGGAGGTGTATGTTCTGTTCATACGCAAAACTGAATATGACGTTTACAAGGTATTAGTTAAAATATGTTTTCTGTGATTTTTTTTATATGATAGATTGTTATTGACCCCAATTACTGTCAAAACTGTGAAAAAAGAATGGGCTTAAAAAAAATCCCTATGTAAAATTTTTCCAAGCTAGATGAGGAATTACATTTTTATATAGGGTAAAAAAAAGTTTTGTGTGTCTTTGGAACACGAAATGATCAGGATGGAAATTAATGCTGAACAAAACTGCGCAAATGTACAAAATGTTCAATTGCTTAATGTACAAAATAGCCGTTTGGCAAAGGGGGTTAATAATAGTTTTACTATGTTGTAAAATATAGATTTACTTCAAATGCCCTAAAAGCAATTACTGTCACTTGAATGACCTCACTCTGCAAAAGCAACGTGGTTGAGCGTGCCAGTCCTCATTTGGTGCCTTTGATAATTAATATTAAAAAGTTGTAATTATGCAGAGTGCCAAGAATGGCTGGAATAAGCATTGCAACATTGTTTTAATCCAATTAAAAATGATTTTTTTTGGTTTAAGATTATTTTGGCGTCAACAAGTTACTCTAGTCACATGTGCCCACTTTCTATATACTTTCACAAGACAGACCGGTTTTTCCAGTTAAATGAGCAGCTAGCAAACAAAAAACACCTGCAGGTTTATTTACAAAGCAGTAAATCGTTGCAACTTGAAAAATGAATAGCAAATTTCAGGCTAAAATTGTTGTGGCTATATTTGCATTGTATTTTTTTCCCCCCCAAATCATCTGTTTCGGCCTAAATTATGCAATTCCATTTCAACTTAATACAACCCACTGTTAATGAATGATGCCTTTGGATTATTCACTTAACGGAAATTTGTGGAAAAAATAAATATTCACAAATCTGTGGATTGTCGAGAATTCATTTCAGGCCAAAGTAGCTGAATAGGAGAAATTATCCAAGCCAGCTATGCCTCACTTCTCCTGTTTTGGTCGTAGCCTTGCAATTCCTGACAGTTCATAGTTTAGTGAATTACTCGGAGGATAATTAATTTCCGGCAACCTCCATTTGCCTCATGATGTCATAGCAGAGCATACTGAAAGCCAGCATGATACATTTCAGTCAGGTGTATAAACTACTTAACATATCTGCAGCTTATTTATTATTACAGATATATCCGGGGCCAACACAAACCATTGTCTGGAAATCTATTCACAAACAGGACTATACATAGGACACAAAATCATACATTTAGACTGGAAGAAAGGAGATTTAGTCTAAGGCAAAGTAATTTTTTTTTTTTTTTTACTATAAGAACAATATGGATATGTAATTCTCTGCCTGGAGAAGTGGTTTTATCAGATGCTTAAACAGCAACTAAATGCATACTTACAAAAACAGAATATTCAAGGATATAATTTTTCATTTGTAGGGTAATAGCTTCTTCATTTCAAGGATAAATCTGACTGCCATTCTGGGGTCAAGAAGGAACTTTTTCCTAGTTTGTTGCAAAATTGTAAGTGCTTCAAACTGGGTTTTTTGCCTTCTTTTGGATCAACAGCATAAACAACATGTGAGAAAGTCTGAACTTTTTATTCAGTGAATTCAGTGACCTGGATACTGGAGAGGTTTTTCTCAGACATTGATGTAATTTTTTTAGTGGCAGTTTTGCTGTTCCATAATCACATTTTATGTGATACAATTTCACATCTAACCTTCACATTGTCTGTATATCTGTCTAAACAACAACCAAGATTATTACAAATTTCCTCTAAACAAACTGTTAAGTATAGATGTAATAACCGTTGTACGTGGCCATTTTGACATTGCTGTTCTGTTCAAAGCATGTTAAACAGGCAGCTGCATGTTAATTGTGCTATTCGTTGGTGTATAGACCAGAGATATGCAACCTTTGGCACTCGAGATGTTATAGACTACACCTCCCTAAATGCTCTAACAGCCATTATGCTGCAAAGCATCATCTGGAGTGCGGAAGGTTGCATATCTTTTGTATGATAGACAATTTCTGACGACATTGTTACTTTCATAATTCTTGCTTTTGAAAGATATATTCAAGCCTCTTCATTAAAGTGTATAGCAAAATTAAAAAAATTAAAATAGACATATTGTGAAACACAGTCAGCTGTGTTTCACAATATGTCTATTTTAATGCTATGCTCAATGTTACTTCTGCTTTGTCATGTGCAGACCAGCCAATAGGATATGAATTTGCTTTACAAACAGGCAGTTAACTGAACTGAAAAAAAAAAAAAAAAAAAGAGTTCAATTTTGTTTCTCATTATTTAAGCCGAGCCAAGACGTGTTGAGATTACTTTGGTGCTGCAGTTGAGTGAGATCTAGGTAAGATATGGTTCTAGAACCGCAGAATGAGGCAAAAAAACAAAGGTTTAGGGGAGAGATAGAGTTATCCAAAGGAACTGACTCCCCCGAAACCAGAAAAATCATTTGTGTCACCAGCGTCCTATTCTGCAAGAATTAAATATAACATCAGTTTAAATCTCTTGGACACATAATGTCATTGGCTAAATTCATATTTTTCACAACCAATGGACACTGTCCTCAGAATTTAATATGGTCAGTGTCACTGTGAAAGAAGAAATTCCTAATGTTGTTTCCTTTTAAATTATGCAATATTAATGTTCTCGTATTTATTTGTACAGTGCAAGATACCTCCCTTTACCAGTTGTATGGCTGCCAGATGACTGATGAGATGATAAAGCAAGGTTTTCTGGGTATGTCCTAAGGCAAGTTCGTGAATGAAAGAAAAATTCCATGGAGCAGAAGGTTAATTCTTCTTGCATACAAATTTTTCTGTTTACACAAACACACTATGTGCGCGCACGCATGCGCACACACACACACACACAAAAAATACAATAAAGTGTGCATCTGGAATAAAGTATAAAATAAACTATACTCATAAAATATAACACATATACAGATATAACCAGAAGTTTTTTTTATTTTATTAAAACCATAGCAAGCTAACACAAACTCACACTAAAATGCCCGTAGTTTAAGGAACTATCCACTGCCAAAATAAAAATCAATCATTGTTTAGTAGATATTCCCTCATTGAAAACACATATGCATTTAATTAGGCATTTGTCATTAGGAGTATATCTGAAACAGCTTTTCTGTAGTCTTTAGTCCCCTTCTAACCCAGCCAGATTTTCTGTGTCTGTCCAATCACAGACTTCCCAGCGCAGCTTAATGAGAAGTCTTTAAAAGACATGTGTGCTGAGCAATTCCTTGCCTCTTGAGTTTAGCTCCACCGAGCTAATCAAACCAGGAAGTAACAGGACCAGTTGTCTGATTGACAGCCAGGGGGGTTGTAACAAGGTCAATTTATAAAAGTGCCAGTTTCCATTAAAATCTGCACATTTCCTAAAATAAAAAATAAAAAAGTCACTCTCTTCACACAAAAAGCACATCAACAAGCTAAACTGCTTTAGGTGTGTGGCGTGTACCTTTAATTATTACCTTTAAAATTCAAGCCACATTATCTTTTGGGATATTCCACTGAAGTAAATCTCATATCAGTCTACAATGTGTGCACGAAATGACCCCACCCCTTCTCCTGAATGAACAGTCATACGAAAGTAACTTCTGAGTGACTACGTGTTACTATATCCTAACTGGTTTTACAGTATTCTGCTGGTTTAACTAGCAATAATGTAAATTATTTCAGAATCAAACATTAGTTAATACATACTGTAAAATGTCAAGTGGCAATTACTCCCTTCCTGACAGCATTGAATTGGCTCGTTTTACAGCTACCTGCTTTGGTCCATGGTTTTAGGAATTCAAACAGCTGGTGCAGTGATGTAATGTGACCATCTGTACTGTAAACTGCATGTGAAAAAAAACATCATTTTTTTTCTTGCTGAATAAAACAAAGCTGCTTCAGCCTCAGGGTGGCTGTATTTTGTAGATCTTACTTATAATATTTTTGCACCCATCACCCCTCCATTCCCCTCCCCCAACAAAAATCTGAAGTAGAAAAATAGATAGATAGCTACCATACAGCAGTAATTGCCTCAACCTACGTCCTGTATAAAATGGGTTATTATTGTTTTCCATATAAAACTAAATTAGGGTAGGAAAATAAACACTTAATATTCCCTTTTGCTGATTCTCCACTTCCTAACAAAGCTGCCCTATTCAGAAACAACAAGATAAATAAGAGATACTTTATGTGACATCATCCTATCTCCTGCATCTGCACTGTAAAAGACCTACGTAGGCTCACTGTGCAGTGCTTGCACACATGGTACAGGCATCTGTATTTATGTATATATGTATTATAGCCATCTACATCCCCAGTTTGTGAGAGATTGTGAGACATGGGTTGCCATATAATTACTAATAAATTACATCTTCACAATATTTTTGCAAGGGAATAACAAACAGAAAAAATATTGAATGTTCTGTATTTTTTTAATTGCAAAAAACATAAAATAATTTTAAAAGAAAATAATTGTGGTTGTGTTTGTTTTGTTTAGATATTCAGCGCCTTTCTTTCTTTGGAATTCCACGGAATTTCCAAGTAAACTCCAATTGGAATCAACTTGTATATGCAGTTTATGTGTAGTTTAGTTCCCTGAGTAATTTTCGTTTATGTTTGCCATTATTTTAGATTTTTAAATAAAAGTCCATGTGTTTTGGATTTTCTTTTTCTTTTTTTTTTTAACATGATTTTTAAGTGCAAATGCACCAAACAACCTTTATGCATCCCGTTAAACCCATATTCCTATTGAGAAGTTCCAAAATTGTCATAAGAGTGTCAAATTATGTCAGAATCCAAAAGGAAAGAAAAATGCATTCGCTGGACTTACCGGCAAATGGCACACATTCTATATACTATCTATAATCGGTGGAACCAATAATCGGTTTATTCCTAATTTACATCACCTTTACCTATATTGCTAATGTACTTACATAGTCATGCATTTTTACACACAGTCACATACATATGTAGACACACAATTACCCAGTCACATACACAAATATTTGCAGTCACATACAGTCAGAAATGTACAAAGATACAGTCTGTCACACACAAACATCAGTCACATATTTAGCCATACACAGTCAGAAACATACACACGCAGTCATATAAATATACAGTCACACACATACACCTATTTTTTTTTTATTGATTAAAACGTATTCTCTTGCCCTTGCAGCTTATCTGCATGTCAGCACCTTGGGGATGTAGAGGAGGACATTTTAGGGCAGACCATACACCTGCTGTCTGTATCAGCCTTCCTCCAGGTCTAATTTAGCAGGTGGTCCTCTGCCACACAAGGCCTAGTCATTGTTGTCCTTGGCCAAAATATATGCCCCTGCAGTGTTTTGTTTTTTTGAGTGGAGAAGCAGTAAAGAGCAAATGCAGAATAAAGATGCAGAGTGTAGTGAAGTAGGAAGGAATATGTGGCTATAAATTATAAACCATGGCACAGTTTTGGGCACAATAGGATAATAAATGGGTTCTCTGACAAACAGTCCTCACATTTTTCAACAGCACTGAACTATGGGAGATACTCTGACAATCTGGGCTTTACTCAACGTTTGGTTTCTTTTTACGTAGGATAAAATTCAGTGGATTTAATCCCTTTTTTTCTTCTGGGAAATCTGTGTCATTCTTGTGACAAACCCGTGACAAATTCACAGAAGAATTCACAGTCACCGTTTTAATGCAGATTCTATGACATTGAAAAATAGACTGTTGCCAAATATAGTGGAAAAAGTGCAGTCAACATGACACACTTTTTACACAATCCATACCTTTTTGTGATGACTCTAAACTAGGCTGTTAAGGTGTAAGCCATGCATCCTATCTTTTAAATAATGGTTTATATGACAAAATTATTGCTTCGTTGACTTTAAATTGATAAAAACATCACGTCTAAGTGAATAGAAGCTCCTGTTTACTTAAACTTCTTTGTTCATTTGTTTTTCAAACAAAGAGTAGACATGAGCAGAGCCTGCGCAAATATTTTACCTCTTTAGGAAAAAATCAACTTTACTGTCCTCTTATCTCCCTTTAGATTCTGTTTTTTTTTTCTCCTGACACTCTTTCTCATCTTTCTATCTTCCAATCTTTTTCTGTGTATCTTTGTCCTTGTGTTGTAGTTGTCTCTTTTTAATAGCATCCACCCTCGTTCCCCCCTTGATTTCTGCCTCCCTTACAATCCCTTACACTACAGTAGTTTTTACTATTCTCTCTCCACCAGTTTCCTTTACCTACCTCTACTATATGATAGTATACTATACTATATAGTAGTTGCATGTTAGAGGCTGCATGTATATGGGGGCTGGATGTGTGTGATGGCATTGTGTAATGGGAATTGTGCATGTTCTGTGAACACATGCTATCTTCCCACCATTCCATGGAGCTTCAGATTGCCACCCATTTAAGGTGGTTCACAAATTCCTAAATGGGACAACATTAGCACTCACCCTGCCTATGCGTGACTGTACTGCAGATGCAGTTCCTATGTCTTCACAAACTTATGCTGTACCTAGAAAATATCCAACTCTTTAATAGGAGTATGAGAATTGGAATGTTCAGGCTATATTCTGTTTAAAAGTCATGTCATTAGCTTAAAGGAACACTAAAGTCACCAAAACAACTTTGGCTTATTAAGGCAGTTTGGGTGTATAGATAATTTCCCTGCAGTGTCACTGCTCAATTCTCTGCCATTTAGGAGTTAAATATCTTTATTTATGCACTCTAGTCACACCTCCCTGCATGTGACTTGCACAGCCTTCATAAACACTTCCTGTAAAGAGTCAGCTAATGTTTATACTTCCTTCATTGCAAACTCTATTTAATTTAAAATGTATTATCCCCTGCATTGTTGATAGCTTGCTAGACTCCACAGAAGCATTCTGTGTATGATTAAAGTTCACTTTAGAGATAAGGAAATAAGAACCTTTAAAGTAAGTTACATCTAATTGAAAGTGAAACCATTTTTTTCCATGCATGGTGTGTGAGTCACAGCCAGGGGAGGTGTGACTAGGGCTGCATGGACAGAAACAAAAGGGATTTAACTCCTAAATTGCAGAGATTTGAGCAGTGAGACTGCAGGATTATGATCTATATACTAAAACTGCTTCCTTAAGCTTAAGTTGTTTTGGCAACTATAGTGTCCCTTTAAGATCTGAAACTCAAGGTTTTGCTACCAAATTTGTTTTTAAAGCACTATTTCTAAAATGCATAAAAATTGGGCATTATTCCACAGTGGAGTGTTATGCACATCCATAGCTCTGTGACCTAAACATCTGTCTACACTACCACATGGGTAATTTGGCAATGAGTCTTAAACTCTTGTGGGAAAACAGATTACAATATGTATTATATATTAACATGTTTGCTTTTTTTCTTGCAGTTACTGTAGAAAATAATTCCAAAAACAGACAAAAAGAAATGTAAAATACAAATTATTTGTTGGAAGGAATTCTTCACTCATCTATTTATATAGCAGAAACAAATAAGCAAAGCTCCAAAGTCATATATTCCCAATTTTACCAATTTATAATTTTTTTAAGTTGAGATGATAAACAAGCATACTTCTTTTTTTTAATTTCCAAGGAAATAAATGGTCAAATGTGTAGAAAAAAAAGAATGCATCTATTCTTGCAGGCATTCACAAACAGCAAATTTTAATATTTTATAAAATCTGTGGGATACAAAATATTGTTGCAATACGATGACATATCTGGGCAAAGCCAATAGCTGGTTGTCTTTCACAGACCTTGGTTTGCATGCAGAAGTGGCAGTGCACTGTACGTAGTCTCACTGGCGTGTTTGATAATACCATCATTCAGAAAGAGCAATGATAGGGCTGTTTGCAATCAATGCGAGAGCAGTTCACGATCAATGAGATTATCAAACGAGAAACATTTCTCTCATGTTTTGCAGAAGGGAGCACCTTGTTATTCTGATGTATCCATACACTCCAAGAAACATTGTCACGCATTTTTATTTATTTATTTATTTATTTTTAACAAAAAAACCCCCAGCATTTACATCTTTATCATTGAGATAAACAACAGGTATCCTTACCCTTAAAAACAAAGATTGGGGGAACATTTGAGAAGCAAAATAGACTTTGTTGATCAAGCAAGCACATCCAAAGGATTTGCAACTTGCACTACCCTATTTTGAATCAATTTGGATTTTATTTTGTTTATAACAAGTATAATGATTGAAAGTAGTTTTGTTATTTAAAGGGTAATGCATATCAAATATTTTACATATATAATATAGAATTAATTACCATATGTATAGTGCAGGGGTAGGCAACCTACGGCACTCGAGGTGTCTTTGCACGGCACTTAACGCTGCTAGAGCCAAACAGGCTCTGGCCTATCATGAGTCCCAGTAAAACTTCAAATAGTTGCTAATACGAAAAGATGGTGAAGGACAATCCTCAATTCAAGCATTGCAGCACATAGAGGAAATGATCTCAGATCACTTTCTCCAAGCACTTGTGAATGGGAATCCACAACGTAGTAGAGCAGCCTGCGGCTTCTGTTGCAGCTCCTGTATTTGACCTGTACCAGGCCAGCCTGGTCCCCACTGGAACCCAGGGAAGCCAACCATACTGCTAGATATACACAGATATTGTGGATCAAACCAAGTGTTTATCTGAGTATCTGCTCCTTTCCAAATTGTTAAAATAAATGTGTGCATGCTCTGAAGTAAATTATACTGAGACACAGGTATCAGGTTAATGAAAAACTTCGGAATGTTTACTCAGGGGGCGGCAAGCCCCTTATAAAGGCAGAAATACATCATATGCAAAAATGTAGATAACAGAGACAATACATCTTTAATTGGTTAGGTGTTAAGTGTCTTATCTAATGCACATCCTACGAGGTGTGATGTCACCATCATCCCGGGGATTTTACTCCGGATGTAGGCGCCACCTTGTTACAGAAGGTAGTTAGTTGGTGGGAGGGGGTGCTCTAGCAGCCATTTTGAGTAGATATTGAATACAGGTATACACAGTAAATAGACATTTTACTATCACTAATTTACATTCATAACACAGAAATGAAGAATAACCCTCCCCTTATACAAATAATACGAACAGCCCACACACAAACATACACACAATCTGCACAAACGTAACCTGCTAACAATCCACATACACTCACACAACCCCTCATGCAGCCTCTCACATGCAATACCCCAAACAGCCCACACACACACTACCAAACACACAATGTGACATGTCCATCCACACACAATTCATATGTATCATACACAATACCATAAACTACTAATGAACATATACAATACAATCGCTTATATACACACAAATACAACGATACAAAGCAACTGCAGTAAAAATAACAAGCAGAATATGGCGGCATACACACCTCAATTTAAAAAAAATAGGACCGGCACGCTAGGGGACATCACAATCCTATATCGGCACAGTGCTGCTAAAAGGTTGCCTACCCCTGGTTGCCATTTTTTCCCCATTTGTGACATTATTAATTTTGGAAGCATGTTAACAAATAAGCTGAAAATAAATCTGCAGGTGGCAGCCATTTTGAGTTCCATCTGTTTTCAAGTGTATTATATTAATTGCAATTACTTTTCTTAAAGGAGAAATATAGAATTTAATGTTTCTTTTGTTATACCTTTGCTAGTAAACGGCTCTGTAAACATCATGATCGTTTATGTCTGTTCTATCCCTGTTTATACAACAATTTGCAAGCATTGTTATCACAAAAGAGATTTAAGGATTTGCTGCTCACTTGAGAAAATATCAATCAAGCCATTTCAGTAAACATCTGTTTGGCTTTCAAAATGGAAACTGCTAAACAGTAACCAAATATATGGAAGGAGATGCTGCATAGTTAGTATATTCATAAGGACTAATTCGGGTTCTGACAATTAGAATTGGTTGTTATTTAGGAGTTTATTCACTTTAGTGGGAATGTAGTTAATTCTAAACAGATCTGACAAATTTACACTAATATAAAAATAGATCAGCTGAAAAAAATAACGAATTTGGAGAATATATTCAATTCAGCTATTTTGGCCTACAATCTGGTCACAGTTTGGTTTTCAATTTGTGGAAATTCACTGCTTACTAAATATAACATGGGGGTTATTCCCTAAACAGTGATTTCTAGTGAACTGACGATGGAATGGCAAGTTTAACCCCAAAATAGCCAAGACGGAAAATTAACTTAATTGAAGTATATATCCCAACATTTTCAATTCGCTGCCATTTACTCTTAGACCCTGTTTAGACCCTAAAATATTTGCTTAAATACTTCAGGGGATGTGAAATAAAATGCATACTTATTATTATTGCCATTTATATAGCGCCAACAGATTCCGTAGCGCTTTACAATATTATGAGAGGGGGGAATGTAACTATAAATAGGACAATTACAAGAAAACTTACAGGAACAACAGGTTAAAGAGAACCCTGCTCAAATGAGCTTACAGTCTATAGGAGGTACTTAGTCTTTTGCCATCATTTTGATGCCATTTCTTTATTTTGGGAGGGGGGGCGACACACTTTTTTTTGTCCCAATTTTAGGTAAAGTCATCAGGAAAATTATCAATAAGTGTTACTGAAATTTGATTTGGCATCACCATAAATAGAAGCTCTCTACTTAAACCTCTTTGTTCATTTCTTTTTCAAACAAAGAGTAGACATGAGCAGAGCCTGCGCAAATATTTTACCACTTAAAAATCCACTTTTCTGTCCTCTTATCTCCCTTTAGATTCTATCTTTGCTATTTTGAGAAACATGTTAGAATATAACCCATATATACACATTAAAAGTTTTCCATGACATTGAGCAAGCCTTAAAAGGGACACTGTAGGCTACCAGACAACTTCATCTCAAAGAAGTGGTCTGGATGCACTGTCCCTGTCCCCTTAACCCTGCAATGTAAAACAGTGCCGTTTAAGAGAAACTGCAATGTTTATATTGCAATGTTAAGGCTGCCTATGGTGACTGTCTAACAGACAGCCACTAGAGGCGCTTCCTCCAGCTCCACAGAGTTTGACTCCATCAAACAACATTGGACATCCTCACGCTTTGCAGGAGGAGGGAGGGGGAGGCAGAGGCAGAGGAACACTTTAACGTTAGTTATACAGTTTTTTATTCTTAACACCTAAGTGTTCCTTTAAGACTTAAGTATTAATAGGGATTTGATACTCACTGCTACATTATATAATTATTTGTGTATTTGTTTATTGTCTTCCAGCAACTAAGAGACTCGTTCAAAGCCTGAATGAATAAAATCTATTATACTGTATTGGAATACTGTTGTAAAAATGTATTTTGTTATGATGTAATAATGTGAGACACTACCTCTGTTTGTAACAAATGTTATGTGCGGGTTTGAATAACAAAATAAATTCTGAGATTGAGCGTTATATTATTGTCTTATCTATATGTGTTTATTACAGACATATTTTAAAATGTTGACTTGTGAAAATTTTTATAAAAAAAGAGCATAAGTGCAGTAATGTGAGATTTGTAAATTCAGAAATTCACGAACACTTATTAAAAAAATATTTTGTATATCTCCTTTTAACAGGGAACTGTCATTACAGGATTTTTAATATTATGTTTACACATTCCCAATATTTAACAAACATGTATTGGTTAGATGTGAAAAACTAAAATGTAGAAAGCCACACCTCCTCATTTCTCACGTGTGCCTTGGCCGTACCTAAGCTGAAACGGATGCTAAAGCTTTAAAGAGACATTTCACTGCACAAATACAAAATAAATAAAAATCACTGTTTATTAAATATACCACCAACGAAAAATGTATGTACTTAATTATGCATGTTTTCATTGGGGTATACCTAAAAACAGGTTGCAAAACCTACAGATCTCTTGTCTGCTGCCTTTGCAAACCCTCCCCTTCTAACCCCGCCCAGATTTTCTGTGGCTGTCCAACCACAGACTTCCCAATACAGCTCAATGAGAAGTCCTTGCAAGGCAGCCAGGTGCTCTGGGCAATTGCCACCTCTTAAATTTAACCTGAGCTAACCAGACCAGGAAGTAACAGGACCTGTTGTCTGCTTAAAAGCCAGGGAGGTGTTACCAAGTTAATTTATAAAAGTGTTAATTTCTGCTATATTTTGATATATATATTGGTAAGGATTAAGCGGACTGTTCCGCTGATTTTAATGTATATTGGCATACTGGGAGTAGATGGAAACGAAAGCTCAGGGCAGGGGTGTTGCAAAGTGGCAAAAAGACCAGGGACCTCATCCCACAAGTAAATGTTATGGTTCAACTGCATATATTGACTTAAAGGATAACTATAGTGTCAGGAAAACAAATCGGTTTTCCTGACACTATAGTACCCTGAGGGTGCCCCCACCCAGAGTGCTGAAGGGCTTAAAACCCCTTCAGTTACTCACCGCCAAGCTCCCTTACCTCTCCTCCCCCGCTGACGTCAGCGGAGCGGAATGCACATGCGCAGCAGTGCCATGCGCACATTAAAAGTGTCCATAGGAAAGTATTTTTCAATGCTTTCCTATGGACGCTCTGCATGATGGAGGCATAATATGCCTCCATCATTGCAGATTCGCCTCTAGTGGCTGTCCAAAAGACAGCCACTAGAGGCTGGCTTAACCCCAAATGTAAACATAGCAGTTTCTCTGAAACCTAGAGTGACCTGGCACCCAGACCACTTCATTGAGCTAAAGTGGTCAGGGTGACTATAGTGTCCCTTTAAGCCCCTCCTAAAACTAGCCCTATACTATGCACTATGTCCAACTCTAAACCATAATACCTTTTATAAAAGTCACATTGTGACAAAATTCTGAATATTACATTAACCTAGAAAATTAAGCCATGTGCTCGAACTCCTACTACTCCTGGGCGGCAGCAATGACTATAGTACATATCAGCTCCAATACACAGGACAAAAACCCCTAGAAAGGTAAGTTCACACTATCCCAAATCCCTTTGCACATTTAAATTGGAGGTTTTTAGTGTCACCCCAATGGTCACTCAAGTGTAAGCTCACCTGCCACATTAAGGCAAAACCTCTTAGGTAAGTCCTAAACTAACAATTAATCTTTAAAGGGACACTATAGTCATAAACCAAACTTTAGCTTAATGAAGCAGTTTAGTGTATAGAATTAGATCATGCCTCTGAAGTTTCACTGCTCAATTCTCTGACATTCAGGAGTTAAATTAATTTTGTTTATGTCCATGCAGCCCTAACCACACCTCCCCTGGCTGTGCCCTGACAAGGCCTGCATGAAAAAAAAATAGTTTCATTTTCAATCACATGTTAACTTACTTTAAAAGTTTTTATCTCCTGCTCTGCAAATTTAACTTTATTTGAATACAGAAGGCTCCTGCTGGGTCTTGCAAGCCATTAGGAACACATTGGGAGGCTATTGTGCAAGCACTGCAAAATGGCACGCTGCACCAATCAACATCTCCTCATTGAATCAATGCATTTCTATGTGGAGTGTTAAGCGCTTCCATGCAGAGCGTGAGATAGAAAGCACCCATAGTGCCTCTAGAGGTGTTCCTAGGCAGCAATGTTAACACTGCCTTTTCTCTGAAAAGGCTGTGTTTACATTGAAAAGCCTGCAGGGACAGGCTATAGACATGGGAACCACTACATTAAGCTTTAGTGGTTCTAGTCACTATATTGTCCTTTTAACCCCTTGAGGACCAAACTTCTGGAATAAAAGGGAATCATGACATGTCACACGTCATGTGTCCTTAAGGGGTTAAATGACACTCCACTGCCCAAATACAAAATACATAAAAATCACTGTTTAGTACATATGCCTCAAATAAAACCATGCATGCATTTAATTGTGCATTTTTCATTGGAGTTATAGCTAAAAAAAAACAGCTTTCAAAAACTGCAGATCTCTTGCCTGCTGCCTTTACAAGCCATCCTCTTCTAACCCTGCCCAAACTTTATGAGGCTGTCCAATCAAAGACTTCCCAATGCAGCTTAATGAGAAGTCTTTGCAAGGCAGGTGCTCTTGGTAATTGCTGCCTCTTGAGCTCAGTGCAAATAAGCTAATCAAACCAGGAAGTAACAGGACCTGTTGTCTGCTTGAAAAGCCAAAGGGGAGTAAACAGTATAATTTATAAAAGTGTAAATTTCCAATGAAATCTGAACTTTTTGCAAAATGAAAAACAATAGGACACACTCTTCAGACATACAGCATTTTGGCAAGTTAAAGTGCTTTCGTGGTCTGGAGTGTCCCTTTAAATTGAAAGGCAACATTTCTAATGAGACATTGAGGGGTATTTTTCTAAATCCCCAACACACTTAATAATTCTTAATAGGGACCATATGAGATGAGTGACAGCACTGTAACATGGCTGTGTAATACAAAAGCAAATACAAACATACAAAATTAAGCCCTGCGCTCAAACTCCCACTACTCCTGGGCAGCAGGTATGAGTATAGTTCACATCAACCCCAATATATACAATAAAATCCAAGGAGAAAAAGAGTTACTTGCGCACTATCCCAAATCACTATGCACAGTTAAATAAATGGCTGGGTGAATTGTTAGCATAGGACTCTCCTAAGAGGTTTGCCTTGACTTGGCAGGTGAGCTTACACTTAAATGGCCATTGGAGTGATACTGAAAACCTCCAATTATTTAAATGTGCACAGAGATTTGGAATATGCACAAGTAACTTTTTTTTATTACATGAACCAATATTTATAAACTTCACACCTGCTATATGAACTCTATGCTTTATTAACCCCTCACCCCTCTGAATTAAACCCTGTCCAAAAAGGAATACCCCCACATTGTTCTGTATAATTGTCTCCAAATATGGAGCATTAAAGCACAACCATCACAAATTATATACTTGTAGGTGTTATCTGTCTCTCGGCATTACATGGCTAACAATATGGTTTCAGAATTAGACCTGGCGATTTTCAGGGCCCAGTTTGAGGCTCCAGCTACCCTAAGAATGCCCCCGGCTCAGCTAATGGATATTGGCACATCTGCATATACACAGTATAGGAGGAACGAGGCATGGGTGTTAGTGTATGTGAGGAGGGTCTTGCTCAAACAATCTAGGAGGGAGTGGACTATAAGAACACAACGAGAAGAGCAATATATGTAAAATAATGAGGAAAATAAAAGAGGAACAATGAATCCCCTATTATCCACCAAATAGTAATTGTGGTGAAAACACAATTACATTATTAGTATTATTATTTATATTGCACCAACAAATTCCGCAGCGCTGTACAATGGGTAACAAATGGCTTCATTTAGGCACAGATTGGTGAATTGGAAAATATTTAAAGTTTATGTTTTTCAAACATCTCTATTTTAGTGTAATGTTTGCAGTTTAGTACATTCCTTATACGTGAGTAAATAGTTTGAAGTTTTGGCACTGTCTGTATTTATTCTCTCGTATTGTACCTGATCTCTTTCATGTTTCAGCCGCTCCCCTCCCCCACAATCCCTAACACTCTGAATGCATTTCTCCTTTACTCAAAGTCTTTCCTTCCTCTGTCTGTGCTTCTGTCCTTTAACATTCCTTTTAAACTCATTACTAATTACAGGTGCTTCTTAGCTCTTAGCTCTTTCACAGGTAAGTGTTCTGTCTCGTTCAGTCACCAAATAGTTAACATAGTTAATTTGCAACAAAAGCCTAGAATGATCTACTGACACCTAGTGGATCAGAAAATAAATGCTGATGCACTCCAGCTTGCTGACTAGTGGGAAACCAGGAAGGAAAAGTCTGCCTAAATCAGCCCCGTGTAAGAATATCTCAGGCCTATTCTTTAAACTAGCATCAATGCTTACAACTTAAAGTAATTATTAATAAAATATATTACAACTAAATATTAAATGCACCCCAAAACACACACTAAGTGTACACTATATCATTATATTCCCATCTGCTTGTCAAATGAACACTCTAGGCACCATAACAACTACATGTAAATTAAGTTATTATGGTGCCAGGAGGACTCCAGTGCACTCTTATCTCAAGGGGTTAAATTGTTCTCAAAAGAGGTGTTCCTAGGCAGCAATGTTAACACTGCCTTTTCTCTGAAAAGGCTGTGTTTACATTGAAAAGCCTGCAGGGACAGGCTATAGACATGGGAACCACTACAAGCTTTAGTGGTTCTAGTCACTATACTAAGTTGCCTCCAGCTCTGATCTCAGCTCAGGCGGCATCCGGGTTCTGAAATGTCACTTTTAGGAAGCGCGTAGTGCCGCCGGGCATGGACGCCATTGATTGGTTGAGAGCCATCAGCTGGTGGGTTAACCATGTGAGTGAAAAGTGCACCGAGGGCCTCCTGGCACAATAACAACTTCATTAGTTGTTATGGTGCCTTAAGGTGACTTAACTGTCCCTTTAACACAGATAGCAAAACTGCTGTTGACACAATTAGCCAAAGTGTGAATCAAGTGGCTGCAATTCAATTTAGTAAACATAAATACAATGTCAGAACTTTAAGATTAGGGGTTCCCAAATGGTAGATCCCCAGATGTTGTTGGACTACAACTCCCATGACGCTTTGCATTTTTTAAGAATGCCTTTTGAATGACAAAGCATCATGGAAGCTGTAGTTTCAAAACATCTGGGGATCTACCTTTTGGGCTCCATTGATTTAGATGTTAAAATGTCATTACCCATGAATGAACCTTAAGGTGGAAGGGTAATAGCACACAGGCCCGGACTGGCCATCGGGCACACCGGGCAAATGCCCGGTGGGCCGCGGTGGCCGTGGGGCCGAGGCCGTCAGGGGAGGTCCCAGGATCTCCCCTGCCGGTCTATGCAGGGCTGGCACTCTCCTAGCGCCGGCCCCGCTGTTTGCAACGACGGGCCGGTGGGGAGATCAAAGCTCTCCCTCACCGGCCCACATGCGGCCGCCGGCCGGGAGGGAGGGAGCCAGCCAGCCGCCAGGAGAGAGGACCCGGCGGAGCTCTAACTTGCAGCCACGCCGGGTTCCTCTCGCGAGATCCGGCGCGTTGCCATGGCAACGACCGGATCTCGCGAGAGTGAACTCTAGCCTCACAGGCTAGAGTTCACTCACCCACGAGGACCACCAGGGAACACCGCCACCCTGCCTCCCAGCGTGCCAGACCCCCCACCCCCTAGGCTAAAGGTAAGAAGGGAGGGGGGGGGAAATAATGTCTGTTTTTTGTTTATTTACCCCCCCTACACACACACAATAGCATTTATACAGCACTCTCACACCCATCACACACAGCACTCTCTCTCACACCCATCACACACAGCACTCTCACACCCATCACTCACACACAGCACTCTCACACTCATCACTCACACACGGCACTCTCACACTCACAGCACTCTCTCACACAGCACTCTCACACCCATCACACACAGCACTCTCTCTCACACCCATCACACACAGCACTCTCACACTCACAGCACTCTCTCACACAGCACTCTCTCTCACTCCCATCACACACAGCACTCTCACACTCACAGCACTCACACACAGCACTCTCACACCCATCACTCACACACAGCACTCTCACACACACAGCACTCTCTCACACAGCACTCTCACACCCGTCACACACAGCACTCTCACACCCATCACTCACACACAGCACTCTCACACTCACAGCACTCTCTCTCACACCCATCACACAAAGCACTCTCACACTCACAGCACTCTCTCACAGCACTCTCTCACACAACACTCTCCACCCATCACTCACACAGCCTCTCCACCCATCACTCACCTGCGGCACTCTCACACTCACATCACTCTCACACCCATCACACACAACACTCTCTCTCACACCCATCACACACAGCACTCTCACACTCACAGCACTCTCTCACACAGCACTCTCTCTCACACCCATCACACACAGCACTCTCACACTCACAGCACTCACACACAGCACTCTCACACCCATCACTCACACACAGCACTCTCACACTCACAGCACTCTCTCACACAGCACTCTCACACCCATCACTCACACACAGCACTCTCACACCCATCACTCACACACGGCACTCTCACACACACACCGCACCCCTCACACACACCCACTGCACCCCTCACATACAGAACCCCCAACACACTGCACCACACACAATACTTCCAAATATATATATATATATATATACACACACACACACTACACTCTTAACCCCTTAAGGACACATGACATGTGTGACATGTCATGATTCCTTTATTCAAGTTTGGTCCTTAAGGGGTTAAAGGACCACTCTAGGCACCCAGACCACTTCAGCTTAATGAAGTGGTCTGGGTGCCAGGTCCTTCTAGGGTTAACCCATTGTTTTATAAACATAGCAGTTTCAGAGAAACTGCTATGTTTATCAGTGGGTTAAGCCTTCCCCCAAAACTAGCGGCTGTCTCATTGACAGCCGCTAGAGGCGCTTGCGTGCTTTCACTGTGAAAATCACAGTGAGAGCACGCAAGCGTCCATAGGAAAGCATTATAAATGCTTTCCTATGCGACCGGCTGAATGCGCGCGCAGCTCTTGCCGCGCATGCGCATTCAGCCGACGGGGCGGATCGGAGGAGGAGAGCTCCCCGCCCGACGCTGGAAAAAGGTAAGTTTTAACCCCTTTTCCCTTTCCAGAGCCGGGGGGGAGGGGGTCCCTGAGGGTGGGGGCACCCTCAGGGCACTATAGTGCCAGGAAAACGAGTATGTTTTCCTGGCACTATCGTGGTCCTTTAACATATACACTCTGGATCCCCTATACACACACTAGATTCCTTGTAAGCAAACACATACTACACCCCTAAACATGCCCTGGAAGAGCATTGAACCAACATGCTCACTTTGAGAGGAGGCGTGTTTGTCATTGGTGATGACAAAACACACCTCCTCTGCCCCGTCCCCTTTTTAGTGGGCCGCTGTGTTAAAAAAATGCCCGGGCCAAATTTTTCTCCCAGTCCGGCCCTGATAGCACAGGTCCAAGTTCTGCTCTAAGCTGTAATCAGGAAGAACAAAACATTTTCTTCACCAACATCTGTTGCTGAACTAAAACTCCAGTGAGGCCTTCAAAGCATTTTGGACCCAAATTCCTTTCAGAATTCATTTTATGCTAAATACTAGGGTCACTTAAGAAATCAAAGTGGTCTAAATGGCTATAATTATTTATCAATATACATCTGTAGCTATATCATATTTCCCAGCATTGAGAGGTGTGTAATTGGGACGAGATCAGGAGGCCTCTACAGGTGTAGATAGCCTTGCGTCATTTGCTGACTGGAGACATTGTGGAAACCAGTAGACAAGGGTCGTGCATTCACTGCAGGCAGCTTCCCTGACCAACCCTACTCAGGGCAAACAATGCACTACTGAAGTGCTCTCTGCAAGGACCTAGTGCCTTGATTCAGCACAGTGCGTTCGCATTTATGGCGTGCTTGCGAAGGACAGTTTTAGGGTGTCCCGAGATGCTTAACACCAGCAAACTAGCCTAAGACTGGAGAGCAAAATGTGCAACTGGGCAGTTGGGGGTTATGCTATGTCTACAGCTATGGCGTTGAAAACCAATAAGGTGTGTAGACATTTATTCCTGAGTTAGGTAGTGAAGCATGTGTGAAAGGGTTACTACAAGCACCATAACCAATTCAGTTATTTGAAGTGGGCTTGCAGTCTGTACACAGAGATTTAGCCTTTTGTTGATTGAGACCTTTAGCTTGTCATTATTCAGCCCAGAACAATATTTCTTGGCTGGCTAAGGTCAATTCTGTGCATATAGGAAGTTTATAGTCATCACACACAGGATGCTGGGAACAGGCAAACAATGGCTCGGCTCCCCCTTGCCGTGCCCAAATCTTCCCCTCAACTCTTTGTTGCTGGCATCACTGTCAGCGAAATCACTGAAGGTGGATCAGGCTGCCGGTGGAACTTTTTTTGAGGGGTGAGGACAGGATAATAAGGGTTGCAATGAGTAGCTCTTTAAATCAAGGGCGGACCAGATGACCTTAAAGCCTACACTGTGTTTCTGGAGCATTATGCCATGGCCCTTATCATAACCCTTTCCAGACAAAGCACTGTTACGATACGCTAGGACTCTACTAATGGCACAAACCTAGGGTCACTGCTTGTATTATATTAAAGCGTTTGAAAAGAGGGTAGTAAGTACCTGGCACGATATAGGGTTACCAGATTCTGGACCATGTGAATGCATCTTACTGTACGGCTGTGGAAAATGCCCGAGCCAAGTATGTAGCATTTATACGTAGCAAAAGCGGAAATAATTATTAGAAATTCTTGCTTATTGTTTTCACTCCTGCTGAGTATTAATGTTGCACTGGGCACCATATTCTTTGCCAAATTATTTTTTTTCTGTTGATGGGCAGCACATCAAACACATAGAAGTCAAATGCTGCAATAGGGAACTCAAGTAATTAGTTATTGAAGAATCCTGTAATATACCTATCTTGCCTGCCAAGATGAAGTGATATGTATTCAGGAAAAAGGTGGATCTGGAAAACCTACACCTTATCCTGCATCGATCCTAGGTAACCACCTGCGATCATTCTGAATTCTGTGCAGTGTGTGCGCATGCATACAAGGAGATGTGTGTATGAACAGGCACATGCACATTCACAGGACATAACTACAGAGGCATGAGAAGCCTCTGATAAATTATTTCCCCACAAACAGACTATTAGTCTCCCACGGTGGAAAAAGGGAGGACATGCAAAGCCTGCACTTCATAAGAAATTGAGCTTTTGCAAGCTCCTTGAAGATATACCCCAAAATAATACATGTATGCATTATGGGTATATCTGTCTACTTATTCTAATTTTAGTGTGATGCAATCCTTTAAAGTCAAACTAGCTGAATTGGAAGCCCAGCTAACTTAGAGAATATGTCCAGTTTATTTGGCTTTAAATAAGGCCTTAAATAAGGAATACATTTGAAATTCACTGTGACCATTCTCACTTTTACTGAATAACCCTGCTTTTATATGTCCATGTTGATGAGAAAGAGACCAATATGAAAGAAACCAATTAAGTGATCACAACAGCTTGTTTGCAGCTCTTCCTGATAACTACAATGATTCCCCTCTGCATCACACTGATAACAGTTATTGATCCTCCTGTGTGAACATGGCCTGCCCAAAAAACTACTAAGAATCTGACAAACCCATATGTTGGGCTGCTGCAACAAATTAACACACTCTAATAAACTTGGTGTATGTGCTAGGAGTAAGTAATAACTTATCTAATAAATTATTCCTACAGAGTAACCTTGCTGCTCATAAACTACCCTTATAGACAAGCAGGCCTGCAGTGTCTTCTATACACAGCATTGATTCATTCAGAAACACAGCCCCGTGCATAGGAGGCACACCGTCTCTTTATTTGCTTTTCTTATTTCTTATTCTTCCGGGGATGCCAGACCGGCCTGTTGAACCTGAGATTATAAAGTAAGCCTGACTGATCTTCAGCAACCAGAAAAAGACTTCCAAGGCTGTTCACTAAAGCATGAAATGCCGGGAACTCAAGTGAATTTCAAATTTAAGGCCAAAATAGCTGAACTTGAAATCTTCTCCAAGTCAGATATACTTCAAGTTCTGCTACTTTAGACTTAGACTTGATATCTGCTTTAAATTCCTGACAGTTTTTACTTAGCAAATAAACCTGTCAATTTAAATACCAGTTGGGTTAATCACCAAAGTGAGAATTTAAGTGAACTACAAATTTAAGGCTAAAGTAGCTGAACTGGGAGCATATCTGATATTTTGGCCTTAAATTTGATATTCGTTTTGCATTCCCGATTGATTGATTTTTTAGTGAATAACCCTACTATTTAAAAGGTTACAGAGAAGTGAAGTAATAGGTTTCTTGAAATCAGGGAGTATAAATAGTGATGCCAGGATCACATCTGTTGGAATGCTCTGCTTTTGTAGGATTTGACCTACGACAATGTCAACGTGTTGGCTGAAATAGCTAGACTGGAAAAATGTTCTAAGTTAATTATGTCTTGATGTTTGACTACTTGGATCTAAAACGTGCCACTCTTTTTTTTAGGATTAATTCATTTTAGGCTTATCTTCAAATATCCCCAGACTTTCACACATAGACATTGGCTGTGGACTCACATGGTCTGTCACTGATTGCTGTATGAGCTCACTATATGACATCATTATAGTCTGACTGCACTCACAAACAGATTAGCCACAACAGACTATTGTGGCATGCTTGTATGCCCCAACTCACAGACCATGCAATTCCCCTGCTGCACATGGCAACCAGAAATGTATGAGTCATACTTGCCTCATGAATTTGCAAGCATCTTCTCATTAATTTTGTTCCTTACTCTAGCATTCCTTTATTTGTCTGCTTTTGTCTCCTGTTTTTCCCCATGTGTCTCCCCAAACTGTGAGTCAGCACCTGCTTACAAGCTCCTGACCACTAGGGGTGCCTGTTTTTAGCACTTATAATGTGCTTTTTTTAACCTCAAATAGGCTGTTGGGGAGAGATAATTACCAAGCGCCTTGGCCGGTGTCCTCTGTGTCCAGTTAACCTTAAAGGAATTCTATAGTGCCAGGAAAACAAAGTTGTTTTCCTGGCAATATAGGCTCCTACAGTGCCCCCCTCCCTCACGCCCCCCTCCCTCGGTTAAAACCCCTGAAGTCACCTAACTGAATCCAGTGCTGATGTCCCTCAGCAAAATGTTAGTTTTGGTTGGAATCTGTCAATTTTTCACAATTCTGAATTAACTGTTATCTTTGCCTCCGACCTCTCCTTCACCACTCATGCCCAATCAATTACCAAATCCTCCTACTTCCAACTCAAAAATCTAGCGTGCATCTCCCCTATTTAACACCTGATACAGCTAAGGTGCTTGTCCACGCCACTGTCCTCTCTCGCCTTGACCACTGTAATCCGCTTCTCAGTTCTCTTACATGTTCCCAACTTACCCCTATAATGAATACTGCGTCGAGGCTCATTTTCCTGTCCACCTGCACCTCCCACACCTTCATGTCAGTCTCTAAATTAGCTTCCAGTAAGATCAGCGCTGTATCTAGTGCGAGGCTGACAAGGCATTTGCCTTAGGCGGCACTTTCAGGGGGGGCGGCAAGAAAAGCCACCCCAATCGCCCTGGCAGATGCCTTGCCAGCCATTTTGTCTTGGGGGGGGCGTCAAGAGCAGGCCGGTTGTCCATCCTGGGCCCCCTTGAGGCTGGCATCTGTTGATGCTGTAGGCAGACGGCAATGGAGCACTCTCCCTTGAGCTCTTCCTGCTCAGCTCCATCGTGCACCCTGCAGTAATGCTAGAGCCGGACTATGACATCACCCCGGCTCCAGGATCATTAAGAGGCACGCAAGGGAGCTGAGCAGGAGGATCAGAGCTCCCTCGCTGCTTTCAATATGCCCTCTTGCGCCCATGCCTGCCAACAGCAGCCCCACTGGACACCCAAAGGAAGGGAGGCTGGGTGGATTGAACTTAAAAAAAAAATGTGTTAGTGTGTGTGCCTGTTAGTGAGTGTGTTAGTGTGTGTCTGTTAGTGAGTGTGTCTCTATTAGTGTTAGTGTGTGTCTGTGAGTGTTAATGTGTGTGTGCTAGTGTGTGTTAGTGAGAGTTAGTGTGTGTTAGTAAGAGTGTCTGTCACTGAGAGTGTATATGTGTTTATCAGTGAGTGTGTATGTGTGTTTGTCAGTGAGAGTGTATAAGTGTTTGTCAGTGAGTGTGTATGTGTGTCAGTGTGTGTGTGTATCTGTTACTGAGAGTGAGTGTCTGTCAGTGTGTGTATGCGTGTCTGTCACTAAGAGTGTGTGTCTGTCAGTGAATGTGTATGTCTGTCAGTGAGTCTCGTATATGTGTGTTTGTCCGTGTGTATCTGTCAGTGAGTAAATGTGTGTCTGACACTGAGTGTGTCAGTGAGTGTGTATGCATTTCTGTCAGTGAGTGTGCATGTGTGTCTTGTCAGTAAGTGTGTATGTGTCTGTCGGTGAATGTGTGTCTGTCAGTTAGTGTATATGTGTGTCTGTGGGTGAATGTGAGTGTGTGTGTAACTGTGAGTAAGTGTAACTATGAGTGTGTGTATGTCTGTGAATGTGTATGTTTCAATGAAAGTGTGTGTTGGTTAAACAGTGTGTGTGACAATGACCGTGTATCTGTAAGTAAGTGTATGTCAGTGCATGCATCAGTGAGGGCGTGTGTCTGTTAGGAAGATAAGTTTGGAAGGTGGTGGGGTGCCCGAGTTTTGTCATGCCTAGGGCAGCACAAAGTCAGAATATACCACTGAGTAAGATACAGGGCTCAATTTAAGATCCTGGTATTTTCTTACAAATCTCTACACAATGCTGCTCCGACCTACCTATCTTCACTAATACACAAATATGTCTTGTCTAGGTCCCTAGGCTCGAGCTAGAGCTAGGGCTGCACCATATACATGGAACACTCTTCCCCTCTCTGTTATACTTTCACCCAGTCTCCACTCCTTCAAAAAAACTTTGAAAACTTACTTCTTCAGGAAAGCATATCAATTAAACTGTTAGCAACTTTCCCTCCCTGCACCCTGATTCCTCTTCTGCAACTGTCATCAAAGCAAAACATAAAGCCCTACCTTCTACCCTATACTTACCTTCTGTGTCACTATGCCCCACTCCCTCTAGCATGTAAGCTCATTGAGCAGGGCCCTATGTTCCTATACGTTCACCTCATCTGGTGTCTGTAAGTCCACTCATTGTACAGCACTGTGGAATTTGTGGTGCTTTATAAATAATAATAACTGTCAATATAAATGCTAATTTAAGAGAATAACTGTAGGAGCTTTATTTAGGAGTACATTCACTAAGCAATGGATTGTCAGCTTTTATCTTTAATTTGTTTTATTTGTACAAATTGCATAGTTTACAAACCGTGGATAGCACATTCATATGTACAATACCATATTATGAGTTATTAATTATGAGTACACAGTATAAACTCTGAGAGAATAGAGAAGTAAGAAGTTGGGGAGAACATGCCACAAAGACAACAATATTTTCTAAGTAGTGTGTCTGAGATGGAGAAGACATTACATGGCCAAGGACCAAGGGTCAGTCTCAATCAGTCTATCCAGGGAAGGAGGCTGTTGAGTATTGGGTAGGAACTTCTATTCTAAATACATGCCCCACTAAAATTAGGAGAGGTAATATGGAGGAGACCTACCGTGGAAAGTATGTCTTAAGTCTTTCATTGCTATCTCTTTTTGATCTTTGAAGATCCACCTTGTAAAAGTAGAGGGGTTGGAGTTTCCTCAGAGCAATGTAATGATTACAATTGCCAAGCTGGGTAAATGTTTGATTATAATTTTGAAAAATTTTTTTTAGGGAGACAGTCATTAGGATTTGTGGTGTAGAAGAACCTGTGCAGGGTACAAGAGAAATGTTCCATCTGAAATCTAGTCAAAGGCTACATTGACATCTCACATCTTGACCTACTGGGCAGTCATACCACATTTGTAGAAGTGAAATGAAGTAGGGAGGGGGTGCATTACCAACAGCCATTTGGAACATTGGGAAAATCATGCCACTGCAGTCACTTTGCTCAATTCTCTGCTGTTTAGGAAATAAATCATCTTTTTTATGTAGCCATGGCCACATCATCTCTGGCTTTGACACATAGCCTTCAAGAAAAAACGGGTTTAATTTGTACAGCAGATCTTCCAGCACAGTGTGTCTACTTGGATGTTCTTATCTCCCACTCTATTACAGTTCTAATAGGCAACAAATAGGGCATTAACTTCTAAATTAAACACACTGTATAATAGAAGTTAAAAAATTAGACCTTCTTTTCAGGAAGCATGTAGGAGGCTGTGTGAATCACAGCCAGTAGAGATGTGGCTAGGACTACATAAACAAAGTGATTTGACTCCTAAACGACAGGTAATTGATAGAGTCTGTATTGAGCTTAAGTTGATTTGGTGCTTAGCGTCCCTCTAAATTAGCCAACGTTGGAAAAAAATAGGTTTGCGTTTGTGTAACGGCACCCCCAAGCATAAAAGGGTTAAACCGCCGTTTAGTAGATCTTCCCTTCCAGAGACACAGGCACAGCTACTGCAGAACACCAATGCGCCGAACAGGAAACCATATGAATGTTGTAAACAGCCGAATAGGAAAAACCATACGAATAGGTTTACACTCCTAGCAGTCGAACTGGAACAGCATACAATAAATCCCCCCAAGAATGAGACAAAGCTCCGTGTTGAGGGTCAAGCAGTGAACAGACAGAGCTGTGGGTTTATTGTTCTTATATACACATTAGTACCACCCACAGAGTTTTGGAACACAACCAATAAACACATAAAATACACTCAGACACTCCCACACAAAATCCTCCCCTCTGCCTGTGATACAATTACCTTACACAATGGGTAATGTAATTATCACAAGCAGAGAAATACAATTTTTCCACATTATTCATAACTTGAAAAGTATGCATCACATTCACATAATCCAAATACAAACATGTCAAAATCATCCAAATTGGTCCAGTGGTTCAAAAGATAGATCGTAGTCCTTTGTGACCAAAGGAAGCATGGCTTTTCTGTCCAAAACCAGTTCCACAGAGTCTTCTATCCTGGAGATAATTGGGAAGTAATCCAATTATCTCAAAGGACAGAGGCAAAACTCCATTGAACACATGGCAGCAAAAGACAATAAAACACATAAAAACATATAACTGTGCAGCCATTGCACAAAACAGGTACATTCAACATATCCCCAGATAGCTCAGATCTGAGCGCACATTATTACTGAATGGCGCTCAGAGCACACACATACAGTTCAATTGCCATGGAGCCAAAGTCTTTCCCATAGTCTTTCATTATAAGAATGGGCTCCATGGCATAGCTATCTGGGGTATCACCGCTCAAACAGGGCCAGCACCGAATGACCCGGCTTTCGTGTCTCCGCAGGGGAAAATCAAGCGTTTCAACATGGGGCCATAGTCTAAAGGCAGCAGGCGGGCAACCAGGCTCCTCCAATGCACAGTGGCGAGATTGGTCTCGTCACAGGTTGTTTTGGATTTTTTTATTTTGTATATTTTAAAGACTATTTTGTTCATAGAGGGTTATTAAAATTATTGGGAATTCAAAGAATTCAAATGTAATTACAAAATAGCTGAAATGGAAACAAATCTCCAAGTCAGTTATGCTTTCAGTTTAACTACTTTGGCTTTAATTTGGAAAGTCAATTTAAATTCAGAGTGAATTCTGACAGTTCTCCCTTTAGTAAATAACCCTATAAATGTTGTAAATTGGTTGTCATCTCACCGTCTAGTGAATAGAACACTATGCTTTTATGTGATTAAGTAAATAAAGTAAAGATTGCTTGTTTTCTTCCATTAGACTGCTGTGTTATTTTTTACAGCCTTCACGTTATGAGTGACAGCACCTATGAGAATAGCTGGTTGGATTGCTATATTATTTGCATCACTGAGCAGCTGTCATAGGCAAAGCACTTACTAACCAGAAGTGCTAAACAGAAACTGATCTCTACATTTAAATGCAAAAAAATCCTTACTGTAGTCAGCAGAAAAAGTATGGCAAATAAGCTGGATCTAGGAAATAAATCTTAACCCCTTTTTTAGGATCAATACTAAGGTCCAGTGTTTAAAAACCACTAATAAAAAACGTTATCACCACTGGTCTTCAGTGAATCATCACTATAAATTGGAAGCATAATAATCCGTTCTTGGATTTATTTATTAAACAAAAATTTATGATTTTTTGCCTGAATTCTTATTAATTAATATGCCTAACGTTTAATTATTTTGTGAATTAACTCCTATTTTAATGTAAGGTTGTTGGAAAAATGCTTACTGAGTTGTTCAGTGGTAAAAGAGTTATACGGACACTATAGGCACCAAGATCACTTCTTCTTATTGAAGTGGTCTGGGTGCACTGTCCATATCCCCTTTAACTCAGTGAAACGAAGCTCCAGCTTCCAGCGTCTTCAAAGTCCCCAAAGGAAAGTATTGCACATTAGGATCCCCCAAATTGCAACCCATTGCTGAGGGACGTCGGCACTAGAATCAGGTAAGTGTTTAAAGTTTTGGGTTTTTTTAAAACTCTTTTTACTTGGCAGGGTGCAGACAATCATTTTAGTGCATAGGGACACTATAGCTTGCGGAATACACTTTTGTATTCCTAACTCTATAGAGTTAATTTAACAGAAGTTTCATTAAAATACATATTTGCAGTTTTGCAAAAGAACTGCATAATATATTTTAAACATATTTTCTTTTTCTTTTTTTTAATTATTCTTTTTAATTCTTTATCTTGCATGCCAATATTCTTAACAAATGTAATCATTTAACTTGCATGCTCAAAAATCAGTCACTGTGATGCAATTATTGTTCAAATACATTGGCGCTATATAAATAATAACAAAAATAATGATACATTATGGATGAAACACTCAGACGGAGAGACAAAGAAATGACGATACAGGTGAATGTTACTTACTCAAGGAACACAAGGCATTCAACACCAGAAGTTCAAGAATGCCAGTTAGAGGCAATACGGCAAGCAAGAGCAAACTGGCTAGTCATAAACTCAGTAAAAAGGACATATGGGGAAGACATTGCAGATTAATGGCTGTCTGGTCTTTGGTATAGTCGGGTGATGGGTGGAATGTTACAAAGAATTTGCAAAGACGTTTAGAAGATGCATTTTTAAAAAATTAATAAGCAGAATTATCTTTGTAAAAAGAAAATTGGAGAATTATGAAAGTATTGCAGAATTGAAGATATAATATGAAGAAAAAAAAATTCAATATTGTGTTGACCTATTCAACTATTTTGGCCTACAGTTTGCAATTACCTTCTCAATTCTCCACAATTTACAGCTTGTCATGTTCCATTGTAAATGGGAAAAACAAAGCCTATTTTCTTTGTTGAATAATGTTTAGTGGTGTTTTGAAAAAGTACACAATTCTTTTTTAATTATTATTTATTATTTTTGCCAAGTCCCACATAATTCCTCGCTAGGGGGTAAGGAATGTGGCTGAATTCTCTGAAAACTCTGGGCTACGGATGATAGCAGGGATTAATACGAACCATAATTTCGCAACGCAAGAAGACTACAAGGCCGTTTTAGTGCATCTGCTGCACACAAAGTGTTGGTACAGCTTGTGGCCACAAAGATACAGGAAAGTCTTCCAAAAAGTAGCTATTGCTACAGGCAGTACTATTTGAACTCCTACACCATCATAGGCGTTCTGAAAAATCTATACAGAGAAACTACTCTTTCCCTGACCTCTGATCTTATGACCCCAGGCTGGCCTCGGGACAGGACTGACCTGGTCACAGGCTGACCCTGAGCCAATAAGACAGCCCTTATTACCATAAAACACGGGTTGGGTGGCAGGTTGACAGATTATAAATTGGGTATTATTATAAGTACTGTAGAGAACATGGGATAAATGGTGAGTCCTTGGATTTTAATATCCCTTGGGTCTTACGCTTTAGCTGACTACTGAAACTAACAGTGACCCATAATGCAATAAGATGTATAGATGATGGGATATGATCAAGTATCAAACACAGGCAACAAAGGCATAGACAAAAGAAGAGAATACCTAGAACAAATACACTTAGCATATTTTAATCCGTTTAGTTTTTTTTTAACAGTAGATTTTGTCCAAATGGATTTTAGATATCACATTACAGATTTTATTTCAAGACGGCAAAAACATAAAATGGTCAAGCGAGTTAAGAGATTAAATTGAAACCATTTTTATTTGATATAAAACTAAATTTCTAATTTTGCTGCAAAACCGTTGTTTAAAATGGAATTGCAACATTCAGATTCCAAATCAGCAATTGATGCCTACATTTTGTAATGTGATTTTTATTAATTCACTACACATCACAGTTTAGTAAATAAATCCCAACTTCAGACTGCACTGCAGTACACACCGAATAAACTGCTCTGCAGCAAATTGAAGAGAGAACAAATATGAACGCAAACTGATAATTTTTTTATTTCTTTAACATTTCTTAGATGATACTCATATTTAGGAAGCTTTATATATATATATATATATATATATATATTAGTAACGGCAGCATTATTAGTGAGTAAATTGATAATATAATCACAGAGTACATAAGATATTTTAACATTATACAAATTATTAAAACGCACTAGACTTTAAAACGAGGTGGAGTCAAACTACGTTGATATAATATTACAGTTATTAGTCGTCACAGTCCTTATAGCAGTATGTTGGTTAGAGGTGGCAGTAGAGTAAATTAAAGACCAGTGATCATTTAAAAATATATATATTTTAAAGAGAGAAATATATAATTTGTTTAGTAAGTATTATCACACTTTTCATTTGGGATGGATGAATGTAGATTAAGACATTGGGTGGGTTAAGACGGGGTGTTATCTCAATGTGATGGTAGCAAGACTCTTTAGAAAAGGGGTGGTCCAGCCCAAAAAAGGGGTGTGTCAGCCTGGTGTGCTGTCCAATGATATGTTCATGATACCAGAGAATAAAAGTAGGACAAGGCGACAAGAGTCTAAATTCGGGACTCTTACATTTTATAACTTGCTACTGTATAATAAAATGAAGCTACATTTTCCCAAACACAAAAACAGCCAGGTCAATCATAGTTTCTGCGATTCATAAAACCAATAAAAATATCTTCTCTCCAACTACTACATGTCTTCTCTATAGTCAAAAATGTTTTTAAGACTGCTTTAGGGGAAAAAATGATTCCATGCCTTAAAAGGATGTGTTACAAGCTCTATCAGAATCCAAAGTATTATTTAAATAAAATGTATCCAAACATACAACTTGGTTACACTCTAGAAAGGGAATTGCACAGGTTAAAATACACTTGTAGTTCCAAGTTGGCTATTTTGGCCTAAAAATGTGTTCTTGCAATCCCCGTAACATTAACATTTTATTTTCAGTTTTGTGAATAGCCAGACCAATGTCTTGCATGGTACTCCATGCAAGACTTATACTGGAGCTTCCCACTCCCTGAAACATCCTTATGCAAATGATGTGATATCACACTGTCCGGTGATGAGTCCTGAGCCACCCATCCAGTCTTGCATAATTTTAAACTGACTACTGATCACATCTAAGGGAGCGTGATGGCCTTCTGGACACAGAGAAATCCATAAATTAATAGCGTTACCTATTAAATTATAATAACACAGTAAGGTGCCCCGTCCTATCTTAAGTATGCAACCCCAGGCAGCGGCCCACATCCTCAAATCTAAGAGTGGACTAGGTCTGTCATATGGGGATTTATCAGTCCCACCTTGTACATTGCTGCTAGAAAGGTTGGAATATGATAAACACATGATAAGAACGAGAAACTGGCTGTTATATTAATCCTTATATTCCATTAGCTAGAGCTGCATAAAGAGTGCTGGGTGCATGGCTTTTAAATCTCTTGCCTCCTCTGATGATTCTAGCTTGAGGCATATCAGGATATAATGTGGTCTGATGTTGCCATGCGTGGAATATGCATATTACATGGAGTTCAAGTGGAAGGTTGTTGCACACAGCAGCAAGCCACCCTCCTTATATGTATTCCAGGCCCTAATTTACCACCGATATGCTCCCATGCACATGATGTTAAATGCCCCCTCGACTTGTTATCTGAATGAATAAATAAGCAAAAATCCATGAAAGGAGGAAGAAAACATCACTTTCTAAAGCCGTCTCATTCTGTAACAGCAAAACAGCTGATTTTAATGGCATGCTTGTGATCGCACAACCATGGAGTTATATATATATATATATATTTATATATAGTGAAAAATGGCTCTAATGTTGACTTTTAGATGATGGCTGATTGTCCAGGACCTCTAGGCATGGGCTTCTAGCAGCCATTGCCTGACATAGGCACTGCGTGCTGGTTAATGTTAACACTAGGACAGTCATTCCAAAGGCACTGTGTACTTACCAGATGTAGGAGTACTAAGGTTACCCAGACAGCCATTCATCTGTCTAGGTGAGGCACAAGGAAAGTCATTATATGCAGTCTTGGATCCAGATGGAGAAGAGAACGTCCAATGATTTGCGAGATCCACCCAAACAGCAGACGACCTCCAAAGCACACATTTTAAGGGAAATACTCAGACAGCCCTATTTTTAAAATATGACCTCAGAGGTCGCCCTACACAAATCTGCCATGGCTACGTCTAGCCTTATCACTTAAGCTGCTGATTCAGGGAGACACGGCATCATTGTACAAAATCAATACTGTTACAGCCATAAACAAGGTCAACACAAGTTTTCATGGTGACCTAGAACTGCAGTTCCATGGATGGGCAAGGTTTGAATATTATCGTATACATATTAGGATGATTAATCCGAAAAACCTGGAGAAATGGATTAATCATCCTAATATGCATACGTTCATTTTTTAAGATATTAATGGGGCCTTATCTAACCAGTTGAGATTATTGAGAGTTGTGATTCCTGTATATACCCAATTCAACCCTTATTTTTCCACTCTATTTTGGAGATTATTTTGTCCTTTTTACTATTAGGGTTTGAATCTTATTATTAATTATTAATATTATTGCCATTTATATAGCGTCAACTTATGTTTTACAGATTTCTAAATGGGGAAATTTAACAATACATGAGACAACTACAAAATGTTACAGGAAAAATAGGTTCATGAGGACACTGTCGAAAGATGCATACATGCACAATAAGAAAAGGAATCTTAGATAGTACAATGTTGCAAGGGATTGTTTTTCTTTTATAATGCCTATATATTCTGCAGTGCTGTGCATTTGGTGGACTGCAGGAAAGATCATATAAAATGTGCTTGATTTGTTTTACTTGTAAATCTGACTGTCTCAGACCATTTTCCATTCTAATCCAATGCAGCTCTTAATGAAACCGTGAAATGGTCAATGTGAAAACATCAAAACGCGACATTGGTACCATCACATCTATTGAAAAAACCTGCAAGAATTGTGAATACTGAGATCCCTGAACTCACAAAAACGCTGTGTGGGACTCCTGAATGATTAGTACCAGCAGAGAAGACTAATTATATTTTATTTAATATAAAATATCTATTAAACTTTGCATCTTAGGGTCTCCTTAAAGCGGATCTGTCACCTTCAGGTGTTTTTGCATCATTTTATGTATCTCAAGCTGTCCCTGATGGCCACCGCCATCTTTGTCTCGCAGGTTCTTTTCAGTTCCTGGTACTTCGATTGCCAGGAGGAGCCGCGCATGCACAAAATCACAGCACTGAAGTCTACAGATGGCAGGATCCTCCATAGAACAATGCTTGAATCCCACAGTCTTCACATGTGACAGCTGGGATTGGACAAAAGTTGATGGCGGAGCTCCTGTATTTGACAGTCAATCTGAATATTTCATAAAATACTAATTTTTGATGTAGGGTGACAGAACCGCTTTATGTCTAATGAGTTCATATGAAATGGACCCTTACTCACTGTGCCTAGAGTGCTTATTATCCAAATCTCTCTAACAAGTGCTTTGAGAGGCTGACACGATTTTATTATGTACTATGTTTTATGCACTAATGTGTAGAGATTATAATTATTTTTCTAAGAATAATAAATTAGTTATTAGAGTAACATTCGTACATGTATGTCTTGTATAAAAATGTTGTAAATGCATTTCTGGCATTGTGAATTGGTGATGCTAAATAATCAATCAAGGAAATTGAAATCCTACCAATGGCAATGAACTCAAAGGTATAATAATAGTTCATCAATGTGAGACTGAGGCGGAACCAAGCTAAATAACATATGATTCCTTTAGCTGGCCCTCAGTATAACAGTATAGCTGTGTCAATTTGATTTTTAAGTGTTTGATGAACCCAGCTCAAAGCAGCCTGTCTATTGTGTGTCTAAAACAATTCATCCCAGTTTGTAGATTATCTTCAGTTTGGTCCTCTCACACTTTTACTCCCACAACTCTGCAAATGTACCAATCGCTCCTCACTCACCGACAACGTCCCCTTTGTTGATGGAAAGAGATAAAATGGTTAATTCCTTAAATTAATTTTCTATATTTTATTTACCTTATATGTATAAAAACAGTAATTCAATCTATTTACCAGAGGGAGATGTGTAAATTCAGACTTTACTGTCCATCATTTCAGGTTGTTGTTTTTTAAACAATTTAAAAAGGTTTTTCATTATTTTGTTAACACAAACAAACAAGTAAGTAAATAAATGAATGCCACAGATCTGTGAAATTGTAAAATTTAGCATAATTATCACTTATAGGGTTACTCCATAAAACAATGATTTGGTTAGAGTAACCCTTATGTGGTTGTCCTTCACCCCCAAAGTTTTAAAAAACAAGAAAAAAAATAAACAATAAAATGAATCTCCATTGCATCCTGGGGCCCCAGCCTGATCTTCCTTGGTTGTCACTCCCCCTCACCGGAGGAGTAGGGAGGTCAGAGAGGACACAATGGGGGAGGACAGGGGTTGCCATTGGCTGTCTGGTGCCAGCATGCTGTGTGTAGAAGCCATTGGTATTGGTGTACACCTGGAAGTGTTGCATAGGTATGTATAGTTTACACTTACCTCCAATGCACACCACTACCCAGTAAATGTTTCAATACTGTTTACTGGATTGAGGCATTGAGAAACTCGGTTAAACATTTGTCTAATTTTCTTCTGTTCAATGAAAGCCTAAACAAGTTTGCAACCCTCTGCCATCGTACTTGTCAAGTTTGGACAGGAAGGGTAGTATGGGCTTGTAATGCAGAGGTGGTGTGTTAGTGAAGAACTTTTTTTTTTTTATATCACTAACACTCTTGTAGATTGGCTTTTCACCATCTGTCCTAGCTGCAGCCTGCAAAGTTAAAGGAACACTCCAAGCGCCATAAACACTATAGCACGCTGTAGTGGGCATAATTCCAAAGTTCCACATTATAAGGCCTCAAACCATTTTTAGAACTTTTTAAATTCTTAACAGGGGTCTGCTCCCCACTCCACTACGTGAACCAGAGAACCAGAGAGCCAGAGACTCTGTTCACACTGAGCTAACCAATGCAGTGCGGGGCTAGCTCATTGGCTGAGAACATCAGCCGATTAGTCTCAGCCAATGAGCTAAACCCTGCACTGCCGGTCTTAGCTCAGACATAGAGCTTCGTCTTCTAGCTGAGGTAGTGGAGGAGGAAGAGCATCACTTGGCAGATGGCAGATAAGAAAGGCACGTGTGGGACCATAATCACTACAGCATGCTATAGTGGTTATGGTGCTTGGAATGTCTTTTAATGATTATTCTAGCCTAAAAGATGTTAGACACATCCCAGGACAGGAGTTCACAACTCAAGAATTCCCAAGCCTACTGCCCCTCCCTGCCCCCACCCCAAGGCCCACACTCTGTCTTATGTCCAGCTTTTCTTCTTGTATTTTAAATTAATCTTGTAACCTGTAATTCTTTTCGATTAATAGGCACGCTTTTTTTGGAATAAAGTTTAAATCACCTTTAAACCTACCTGAAATGCTGTCTCCCTATTGCAGCCTGATCGGGCTTTGCTGAAGTCACCAAACATGATGACTATTGTATCCTCATAGAGAAGCATTGCACACACACCCGGCGTCAGCATACTTTGCATGCTGACTCCAGAGGTAAAATAAATTCAATTATCCTGGTCAGTCTGCTCAACCCCCTCCGTCCACTCTATATCTCATTCTCAGCCTTTTCTGCTGTATTTTAAATGAATCTCTTTTATTATCAATCTCCCCCAGAACAGATCTTCCATTTAATCTGATTCTCGAAACCCTGATCTCTAAATCCCGCGATTAACCTCTACTGTACACCTACTACTTAGCAATTAAGACTTGATTATAAGATGAAAGAATTCCTGCCTCAATTCTATCTGCATCTAATTACATACTGCTCTTTCTCTAACCCAAACCAATTCGTTCAGCATTAATGGTTGCAAGGCACCATGGGTAAAGGCATAACAAAAGGTACGTACAATTAAATACAATCATTGGAAATTATTTCCACTTCAACATTTCTGCATTCATTTCAAACGAATCCTGCTGGTTTTTATAGGAGGGACACAAAATATGTTGCAGGCTTCCTTCGTGTCAAAGGAGTTAATCTGAGCCTGACTGTTACTTATCTCCCACAATCCTCTCTGGCTGATGTGTTTTGACATCTTTGTCGTGGTATTACAAACAGTGGAGAAAAATATTTGTGCACGGGCACATTCCTCCGTATGAACCCAAATAAACGAATTTGAACTGTAGACACTCACAGATTAATCCTTGCTGAGAAAGACATGGCCATGTTCCAAAGAGTTTGTAAAAATAGTTAAAATGGCCTACCACTGTCCGTTTCTCCAATGCCCTTCAGGGATATCCAGCGCGGGGGTGACTGGCAGAGAAATTGTTCTACACAACAGTGAATATGACAAATTGAGCTAAGAAACGGCAGTGTGTTTTCCTCTGTATTGAAGGAAGGAAATTGCCCAGCAGCGGCCCAAACTATCCATTTATATACACAACAGGAGCAGTATTGAGAAGGAGGCATCCACAGCATACCCCCACTTAAACTACCCATGCTTAGCTATTATACATGCTTACTATCAGAAGCCTTTCTGTCTACAGATACACTGCACTCCTTTAAAGGGAATCACTAGTTGATGTAGTAACACTGTTTACATTTAAACATAGTTTTGTACTGTAGATTTCTGTTTCATCGCCTGCATAAGATGTTATGCTTTTGACTGCTGTATACATAGTTTACTGTTTTTGATAAAGTTACTACAGTAGACTCGAGCAGCGTCTTCATCGCCTTTTTTTGTACAAAAGCCTTGTTTTCTTACTTGTTACATGTATGTCGCATTTACTTTTTTGTACTGTGCTGTAGAACATGTTGGTGCTTTATAAATACAAATAAAACAGATTAAAACTCTTATCTCCTCTAAACACTAATCTTACCCTAATCTCCCGTCTGACTATCCTTATCCTAGTGACAACAGTATAAACAGTTCCAATCTTAATGACACTGTAACTCTGCTTTGTTTTTATGAGTATAGTGACACTCTGTTATTGCTCAGGCCATGGTCAGTATTTAAAATTCACTATTTTGCTGCCAAGCTTTTAAATGCATCTTGCAAGTGAATTAATCATTTGAAGAACAATTTGGCCACTGGCAATGGGAGCCAGACAGCTACTAGATGTGCTTCCTCACCCCATAGGAAAGCACTGAATTCAACACTTACCTATCAGAAGCATTTGGATGCGCGCACTGTGCTCACCGCGCATGTGCATCCATTTCCAATGGATTCGCCATCAGCTCGAGAGTCAGATGACAGTTGCAGGATAAGGAGTGCTGAAGGAGTCTCTGTGCTGGAGAAAAGATAAGTAAAAACCTTTTTTCAGGTTTTTACTAAAAAAGAGGAGGGGAGAAAGGGTAAAACTAATTTGCAAGTAGGGCACCGTAGTTTTAGGAATACACATTTGTATTCCTAATGCTATAGTATTCTTTAAGATCAAATGAAATATGGCATTGTTAAACCAAAATTATTCTCCTAACTAAACAATATATAATAATTATTCCCTTCAACATCTTTCTGATTAATGTAGCTGTGGTTTTCTAACATTCGAAAAATTATCTAAATAAGGCTGGTGGATCAGCCACATAATTTTTCCAGAAGACCTTGTGTGCAGAAGCCTTTCTGATAAAATAGCTTCTAAGTAGTCTAAAAGTGAGAAAAGCTAATATCACTTAAATCTGTTTAAACAACACTTCACAAGCAACGTTTTCTTACAAGAGATTAAAGGCTGACTTCTCCTACCTGAGTTCCTTTTTTTTCACTGGTTTTATACCCAAACTCCCCCATAGCCTATAAAAGAATATTTGAAGATAAAAAAAAAAAACAGTTATAAATTTATCACAGGTAATAAAATTCAGCTCCGAAAATTATTTATTTCTCACTTGAGATAATAGTATGATTGCTGCTCCTATAACCATATTTTGCTTATTTTAAATAATATTTATAATGTAATAGCAAAAAAAGCATAGTAGCAGGAAAAATAACAAACTACGCATATTTTAAAGACAATTTAACTACATTTATTTTCTAATGGCATACATATAATTTAAACACAAAATATTTTTATAGGAACATATTTCAGATCAGAAAACATTAGAGGAAATCATAACACCGGCACTAATATTTCCTTTCCAAAACATCTCATATTTAACCCTTTAAGTTCCAGAAGAGTTTACAGTTTACAGTTTAAAGAATATACCAGATAACTAATTGAATTTATTAGAGGGATGGCGAACTATTTTAAATGGCAAGAGCTACTACATATAATTATAGCAGGATTAGCAATAAATATCAATATCAATAGGAGTTCCATAGACTTCTGGAAATATTTGTTTCAGTAAATAATACTACTGTACAAATGTAAATCCCAGACGGATTGATTTGTTCGGGCATGGATTGAAAGGAATTTGTTATTAACCCTTTTATTACCAAATTACTTTTAGCAGTCTTTGGGACTCCTTGACATTTATCTGATCAATGGATCATGGGGCATTTGGCAAAAATATTAACATATCTATAGAAAAGGAAAGTTGCCATCTTGTTCCAAGGTTCCAAACTGGATTTGCAAAGGGCTGGACAGAGAACCAATCTGCAGGAATTCTAAAATCACCTAGGGGATCACTCCTTAGCTAGTGTCCAGGTGGCTAGTAACCTTTCCATACACATATATTGCCTGGTCCTGACTTCTAGATCAGAGTTGATCTTTGACCTCATCTGGCAGGTCTTATAAAGTGCTGTCATACACCATAAATAGTGTCTGTGATCTTTCACAGTACCATACCGTTTATTAATGTGAAACAAAAAATATTCATAAATATCATCAGTGATCCTGAACAAAAAAAACTTACTCCAAATTTACGCAGAGACAGGAAGTTTTTAGGTTTTAGTCAATAATAAGTGGCTCACATGAAATTCAAATAGTCTGCCTTTGGTTTCTCTGTAGATCCTATTACACGTGGTCCTTGTTTAGCAACCTACCTTTTTTACGATGGCTCGCACTTACGACCAGCTCTCTCGCGAGGTGGTAAGTGCAAGCCGTCGTGTGAATTAGAGGGATTCCCTGATCTGCTGCGTTCGTCTATGTTCAGGTACATTTCCCGGACATAGACGAATGCAACAGAGCAGGGAATCCCTTTAATCTATGTTCGTTGAAATTTGCCCAAACATAGATTAGAGGGATTCCCTGCTCTGGTGTGTTCGTCTATGTTCGGGGAAGTTTCCCCGAACATAGACAAGCGCACCAGAGCAAGGAATCCCTTAACTCCTCACTTACCGACCAATTCGTTCTATGACCGGGTAGTAGGAACGGAACCCGGTCGGTAAGTGAGGAGTACCTTTATATCTTTTTATTGTTTAAAGCGACACTGTTGCCTCCCCCCTCCCACCATGAAAAATTTGTATTTTAAAGATGAAATCTTTATAAAATACTTATTGAGTGTGCGGAATCTCACTGAAATCAAACTCCATCGAGAGATATACTGAGACACTTGTAGACATTGGGTGGAAGTGGAACTACAACTTCTAGAAGTGTCAATCCCCTCAGCTGTCACCAGTAATGGCTGCAGGGAATTGCCTTTATCTCTGGAGGATCCTGAGGTCATAAACCCCAATGCTGTACCCTCACAAATGCACAAGAGTTCAGCATTGACTTCTGCAGTGCCAGGAAGTGAAGAGGACCTGCCGGGAGAAGATGGCAGCGCCTGCGAGTTACAGGTTCAGGTAATAATATGATATATATGCTTAACTATAAAATACACAGAGGCTATAATACATATAATGTATTATTCAATTAATAATAATAAACAATCATACCAGTTCCCCTTTAAGAACTATCTTTTCATATTTATATTTTTTATGATTGTCATATATTATCAAGATACAAAATGCTTATCTTTGTACCCTTTTAAAAACATACATGTTATGCCATTATGGCGTCAATGTCATTTATTTCAGTCGGTGATTGATTTACATCTGATATACCCACAACAACAAAATATTTAGCACCATATATATTTTTTTAAACTGCCCTTTAATTACAGTTTTGCTATTTTTTATTGGAGGCAGACCAAGAACATATATACCAAACAAAGATACGATAAAAATACAAAAACTATTTTTTATCACAAATATGCAGATCTGCTTCGTGTGGTTATCAAAGTTAGTGAGCTTTTTAAAATGTATCTATGAAATCAGATTATTCTGATGAATTCAGCTCAGTATGGTAATGGTTCAAAAGTGTGAAAAATATCAGGCTGACTTGCTTAGAGTCAGGAACCAACTGTTTGAAGCTAATTAATAACTGAGTATTAATTAAGTCTGCTCAAGGGAGGCATATTCCTGGTCTCCTAGAATACTAAGTATTATATGTTCTATGTCTTTAGTATTAGTCCAAAGACAAATACAGAAAATGCAAATGATGCTTTATACAGTACAGTATAACATCTCAGAAGACACAAACTGCTTCTGTTTGAGAGATTTTTTTAAATTTATGTCTTTGCTTAAAGCGGAGTTTAAAAAAAAAAAAATGCATTATGTTAACATTAGTAACACTTCTCAGAGGTTTCTATGTTATTTTTAATAGTAAACTAAGATGTGGACAATTTTGAAACTTGTTTAACCTATAAAAGACCAATAATGGCTTCGCCCATGCTAACACTATGTTCTTTAAAAAGGTTACGCCAGCCTTCGTGATTACATATGTTCATGGAAGTGGTCATGGAGTAGGCAATCTGTATGTGCAGGGTGACTACCTTCACACAGAGCTTCTGCTTGAAACACTGCACATACAGAGATATCTGCACTTTTGTGCCCCAGGCTTGTTGCACCCCTGGCACACGTGACTAACGTTAATACTGTCATGTCTGATGTCAACAAGCATTGAGTGCTGGTGAAAGACATAATCCGCGTCTACCCTTAGAGGCAGCTTTTCCAGCATACCTGCAAGAGGATGTTATATGTTTCCGCTCTCCCTCCTATGTTCCCTCTCAACTCTTCACAGCTCCCTACATTCATTTGTATTTGTAAATCCCACTCCTTACCAACCACACACTCCCTCTCCTCCTGAGCTCAGAGCATGAGGATATGCTCTGAGCCTGGAGATTGGTACAATCAAATGCTTCTCTTTGAGAAGCATTTGATTGGTCATCAGAGAGGGATAATGTGATGCAGTGTGACAACAGATCGGGCATGGAAAGATTCGAGGAAAAGTTCCCATGGTGTTGGGTTCCTGGTAAACTTATTCCTATTGTTCAGGTTTTTTAACTAAAAAAGAGGCGTGGACAAAGTTAACAGTGTCCAGAATAGCATTGTAAAGTAAATCAAATCATATTATATAATTAATATATACTTAATAGCAGTGAGGCTGGGTGGAACTACCAAATGTTTCTTGATGTCATTATGCCATAGACCAGATTTGGACTAAAGCAAAGAGTTACATTATGTCCTTAAAG